ATAAAAACAATACAATTATTTCAATTTTGGATAATGAGACACGCTGGGATTCTTCATTTCGAATAGTTGAAATTACCTTTGCGTCCACTGTCTTAGCAATTTGCTGCAGTTGATCAGATAGTCATCTAGACCAAGTCATCTTTGGGATCTTTTAAAAAAGCCACATGATGTTACAATTAATCGATATTACTCAGGAAAGTTCCTAAAGGAATGACTGAAATTGAAATCTGACCTTGAGAAGAATCAAGGATTATTTATTTCAAAATCTATGCAGAAAAGAGATGCTAAGAATATAATAGAAAGTCAAGAAATAAGAAATACTGCTGTGCTATCTACAGAACTTCTTTCAGTTTTAAATGAATCTAATTCTGATGGAGAAGAGAATGAGTTTGAAAAGGAGCTTGATAAAAAATAAAAATAGAAAAATTTGACACAAATTAATTTTGGTCACACTTCTTTTTTTAATTTTTTTGATAAAAATATTTTTATACAAACTTTTTGGACGATTGTAGGATAACGGAAGAAATGGGACGTTCCAAAGTAAATTCAGCTTTTGAGGGAACTAAAGAATACCGAAAAAGAATACAAGAAGCATGCGGAGTAGTCACTTATATACCTATCTCATAAGCAAGTATAGAGAGGCTATTTTCTGCTATTAAGTTTGTATCGAGCGATCTGGGTTCTTCACTCAAACCTGGTGTTATAGACTTTATTTTTATGGATGAATCAAGATTTTATTAACAAAATAATAATAGTACTTAAGTTACTGTCATAAAACATAAAAAAAAAATGGAGCCGGAGCTAATTTTTAGACCTCGGCTCCATAATCCTAATAAACCCATAAACAATAATCCTGCCTATTACACCGGCCTTATTATAATCATAACTGAAATTTATACAATAGTGCTCAAAAGTTTACCACGCAGCAGAATTAAATTTACTTTTTTCCATATATGTTATTTTTTCAGTAAGTAAAGCTTTAAAAGAAAGTTTTTTTCTTCTATTTATCAATTAACTAGACATAACCAGATAAAAAAAAAAACAGAAAATTAAAAAAAGTTTGTTTAAACACATTTTTTTATATACACATTCAGGCGGTATTTTAATCTTTAAACTGCTCATAAGTTTAGCTTGCTAGCTCATCTTGAAGGTTTTAAGGAGAGCTTTTATAAATTTATTGCGGTAAAATTGCATCATAGTAAATTAAACTCTCCTTTTTAATGAAATATTACTAAAACATATTTAAAGTAGTATGTAGTATTTTAAAAGTTTGTTTTAAATTAAATCATCTTTTTTGCTTAATTCTAAATGATAATAATGATAGAAAATAGAAATTTCTCATGGGAAGAAAAATGTCAAGAAATCAAACAGCATATTATTGGCCTTAATATGGGAGGTCAATGTAACATTAAGTTAGATTGACCTTTTAACATCAGTTTCATTAAACTTATTGCTAAGTTTAATGAAACTGATAATACTGCTGACAATAAGCGTTTTGTACGACCAAGAAAGACAAATATCACTGATGATAATTCTATTTATAGAATTGCCAGAAAAGTCCTAGTACTCAGCAAAACAGATTGCACAAGAAATAAACTTGGCACTTAAAAATCAAATATTATAGCAAGTAATAGAAGACTAATAGACTGTAAGCTGTGGTGCTATGTTTTTGCCAGAAAACCATTATTAAAACCAACAGACCATTTAAAACGAATTAAATTTTGCAAAGCGATTTTTAAGATGAGTAATTATGAATTAGGAAAAACTCATTTTAGTGATGAATCTCACTACACCATCCTAAATTGTAAAAACAAAGTACTTGTCCGTAGGCACTGCAATGAAAAGTTTAATAGTCGCTGTATTGTACCTATACTACAAAGTGGAGATAGTGCAGTTGGTATTTAAGGCTGCATCACATATGGTGACCCAGGTCTACACATATTACACAGTGGTCGAATGGACCAACATATCGACATCTTTGAAACTATTTAATGCCTAACAAGGACATTTTTTTTGGTAACGAGCCAGAGTGGATGTTTCAACGAGACAACGCTTCATCCCATAAAGCAAAATCTGTAACAGAATGGTTTGAGCAAAACAATATCAAGGTACTTCAGGGGCCAGCGAGATCACCTGATCTGAATCCAATTAAAAATGTTTGGGGTGTGTTGGACCGAAAACTTTTCGAAAAACTAGTAACTTCAGCTGAAAATCTAAGAGAAAATTTTAAAAAGTTGTTTAATGAAATTTTTGATTCTATTAGAAGAAGATGTTCATTATGCATAAAAAATAGAGCTGGTCACATTCTTTATTAAGATTCGACCTAAAAACAACTTCAAACCCAAGTGTCCTAAACTTATAAGCAGCTTTTTTTTTCTTGTTTTATATATGATTAACTTCTTCCAAAAAAGTTTAATATATATTTTTCATTGTTTTAATATTATTTTTATTTTAATATGTGCTTAATATCCTAAAAAAAATTTTTGTTTGAAATAACTAAAATCTTTTTTTCTGTTTTTTACCTTCTAAAGAAAAATAATTTTATTGACTTTGCTGCGTGCTTAACTTTTGAGCACTACATCTAGAACAAAAAACAACAGTATAAATGAGTATTATATATTTACGCGCAATCAAATGGAATTCCATTCGGTTAATAATAATCAAATACGTATATTATATTAACAAAATTTAAAAACTCTTAAGAAAATTTCAATATTACGTGGAGGAAATAGAACTTTTAAAATTAAATTTTTTTTAGTACTAGCCCATTTGCTTGGTTAAACCAAGCAAATGTTTGGTATTCCTTGTTTTCTATATGAAGAATAGAAAATCTTTGATATAAAAGTGACTCCAAAATCATTCAAATCGCCGGATCAACCTTTTTTACTCATAAAATAATCTGAATTTTATAGAGATTTAAAAAAAAAAATCGGTTTTTACAAACTCAATTACTCAAATTTATATATAAATAAACATTTTTAAACAAAAATTGATGCGGCCATTTTTTATGACATTTTGCAGCAATGTTATTTTATTCAAGTTCAATTTTTAATTAATATTACTTTTCTGAATAAAAAAATCCAAAGTTCTATTTATACCGACATAATTTCTAACGCTTTAATTTATTAATGGGTTATTTTAGTTGTTGGAATAATATCTTTTGATTACCTTTAAGACTTTTGCAGAATTTTTGAATTCTCTAGTTGGATCGAACATTAAAACAAAAATTTTTATAAGATTTTTTAATGAATAATTAGTAACTGACATTTAAATGGTTTGATTATTTGAGCCTTTGTCTCGTAAACCAAATATGATATTTGGTTAGCAAGCTACATTTTCATTAACAGAATATTTTAATATATTAAATTTATTATATAATATAATGTATAATTTATTTTATTATATATTTAATATATATTTAGATAAACTTTATATATTTTCAACCATTTTGTTTGAGATCATTTATTTATCTTATGTTATTATGGTTTTAACAATTTCAGATCAGGTCTTTTTTAAATAAAGTTTGTAATCATGTATGTACTAGGATATCTAGTTTTGAACCTAGCTTGACAAGAACTAGTTAGTGTGTACCATGTTATACAAGAACTAGTTAGTGTACAACATGTACTGAGAAAAACTGTTGGTGTACTACAAAAGTCTTGTAATACATTTTTTTGCCAATTTGTAAAAAATTATTTATGTTGTTTTGTCATTAAAAAAAAAATACTTTATTTAGAAGCATTTAATTTTAGTATAAGATAAAACTTTGCTTTGCCTTACTTGTTTTTCTCTATTTTTTTAACATTTCAATTTTAAAAAATTTATTTTTCTTTCAAAACTACCATATAAAGTACAGTTTCCAGAGCCAAATTATGTATAAATTATATACTCATCTTTTCATTTCTCATTCAAAAAATGTATAGCTTGAATATGTTTTAAATATAAGTAAACCTCTCTAAAGATGTCAGGTGCAGTATTAGTTGTATCAGGTTTACTAGTAAAGGAACTTTGATTGTCAACAGACAGCTATGATTCAACAAAAAAAGGTGTTTGTTGTTACTCATTTAAAAATTTGTGCATTACCGTGATTTTAAGTTGCTTTCATGATTTTTAGTTTAGTTGCTTTCTTTGTAACACAATTTAACACATTTTTTCTGTTTCCAGTTCATCTGTCAATAAATTCAAATTTTCATATGAGTTTAAAAAAAATCTTAAATTCGTAATTGGTGGCCAACTTAATAAAATAAAATGTTGTTATTGTTAATAAAGTAATGGTTTAATTCAATTTATCCTAATTTTAATTTTAAGTTTAATGAAAAAAGTAATCTTTTAATTAACTGTAAAATTTATCAAGAGTACTGGTTTTTCTCTAAACTAAGCAAACATTTCTTTATTTCAAGTCAAATAGTTTATTAAATAATTCAAATCTTTTCTTTCAAATCATGGTAAGATTATCACTAGTTAAAAATGGTGAAAGTCATTACAGTTTAATTTGTAGTTGACACCCAAAAGTAGTGATACTCAGTGCCGGATCAAAAGGGGCTAGGGGGGACTATAGCCCCGGGCCCCACAAATTTAGGGGCCCCTAAAAATTTTAGAGGACCTTTTCTTTTTTTTTTTAATTTCAGGCTCTGGCCCATAAAATAGCCTAAAAAAAACAAAAATAGCCCCGGGCCCCAAGAAGTCTTAATCCGCCACTGGTGATACTGGAACAGTTTATCTTACAATTTATGTAAGATAAGCATTTATGTAAGAAAGAAAAAATTTTAAAATGTTTTTAAAAATAATAATTTCATAGTAGTTAGTTAAAGATTGGTGCTAAGAAAAATCTTTTTTTTTTTTTTTTTGAATCAATTTACTTTTTTTTTTTTTTTTTTATTTATACAAAATGTTTTTATCATTTCTAACAAGATATTGTAATGTTTTTCTACATATATTTTATAAATATGTTTTATGCCATGAATCTAGTTGAAATCAAAAATGAATTTTTATGCTTTTATGGTTTTACTGTATACTTATAATAATATGAAAATATTTATAATAGTATTATAGTTTCAAATCCAAAATATGGAAGACAGTAACACAACACAAACTAGAAGTACAAGTAACACAAATAGTAATCAGAATGAGCAACATCAAAGTATTCAGGTATTTTTTACTGTTTACAACATCTCTTATTCTGAAAATATTTGAAAAAAAAGTTTGTTATATTTTTGTAAATATACATTTTTCATACTATTTTTTATTTTTATTCAAAACTTCAACTAGTTTACAATTTTTTATGCTTTTAAATTGTGACACCATAAATTTTTTTAAAACCAAGTTTTAAAAAACTTTATGGTGACTTTCCTATAAATTTCAAATAAAGCTAAACATGTTTTTTATAGAGTGCAAAAAACAAATAAAATTAGGATTTTTGTAGCACAATCTTGAATATATAATAAAGACGCTGAGCACCTTATTATTAGTAAATGACCGGGTCCCGGGCCCCGGCTAAAAACAGAGGTTTTTGCAAACTCGGCCCCGGCTAAACAAACACAATTTGCAGGGGTTACTAGCCGGGGCTGAATTTTTGTTGTTGTTTTTGTTGCTTTTTTTTTAAATTTTGTCAAGTTAAAATTTTTTGTGAAAGTTTAAGGAAATATAAGAAAAACCCACAAAAATAATATATACAAATATAATATAATTCATAAATATTTACAATGACAAATAAGAAATAAGACACTTTATAATAATTTAAGTTTCTTCCTCTGATTCTGATGATTCTGTGTCCCAGACATCATAGTATTTTGAATTAGGTGGTGTTAAGTCTTCAGGGGCATCATATAAATATGTTGAATAAGAAAGAGCCCTTAAATTGTATTTAAAAAAAAGAAGTATTTCAACATTCTGTGTTGTAAGTCTGATGCAATCTTTTTGTATTAATTTTGAAACTTTGAACTCCCTCTCACTTGTTGTTGAGCTTGAGGGTGAACATAAATATACTTTTGCCAAGTTTGCTAGCGTTGGCAACTCGCTTTTCATGAGACTCCAATATAATAATAGATCTTCTGAAATATCTATTCGCTTTTTCTTATTATTCTTTACATTTAAATACTTGAATAGCTCAACTATGTAATTCTAATGATTAAAATTACAATTAAAAAGTTACTTACATTTTAAATGTAAATGCAATTTTTCAATAAATTTATCTTATGAAATTTATTTTAGGATATTTTAAACACCTTGATTGTTAGCAATTTTTAAATATTTCTTCAAATTATTAACTTTGTTTAAAAACTTCAAATAATCAATTTGTTACATGATGGCCACTGACTTTTCTAGAATATCCAGGTTGCTGGCTTGTTTGTTCTTTCATCCGGAAAGAACAAAGTAGATCAGATGGGTATATGGTGTCTTTAAAAGATAGGAAAAAAGCAATGACCTTAGAGACAGTATGAGAGTAGTAATTATATTTATAGTGTGTATCAGAGAAGATGATAATGATGCCAATGATTAAGATGATGATGATGATGATCATTGTCATCATCATCATCAGAATCATCTTAACCATCATCATCAACTGTATGCTTGATGATGATGATGATGATGATGATGATGATGATGATGATGATGATGATGATGATGATGATGATGATGATGATGATGATAATGATGATGATGATGATGACAACGATGAGATGATATATACCTTTATATAAAATATATCATGAATTTTAAATAACTATAATATATTTATAAGGAATATCAATATTAATGCAGCCCCGGTCACAGCTATGTTTTATCAAACCGGGCCAATATAATAAAATTTGACTACTTTTTCATTTTGCGCTGTGGAATTGCCCATATACTTTCACCAAATATTGGATTTTTAGTCTGTGGTTTACTTAACTTAAATCTACCCTTCAATTCAGAACATATCAGAGTCTAAATAAGAATCAATAACAATCTTGCATTTTTTGACATGCAAATTTACTTTGTGCTGTTTTTAGTTTTTTTTATTTAGATAAGTTGGAACTGCTTCTCATGTTTTAGAAAAACAGTTGTAATCTCTAATTGAAAACATAATGAGTTAGAATGAAAGCTGAGGGTCCTATTTTTAGAATTTAAATATGACTAAGAATCAAAATTTTTCTATTTGCTTCAAAAAAAAAATTATATTTCTTTTTTTAGCATATTTTTTTTAAATTATCATAATGAGGCATATTGAAGTCAATCTCCAAGTCCAAGTTCCTAAAACTAAGTTAATCGCCTCTTATTTTAAAGTCTGTCATTAAAATGGAAATGAAATTGTCAGTAATCTTATCTGCCTTAATTAATCCTTTAACAAAAGAAAAGTTACACTTCTCAACCATTTTTCCATTCAATGCATTGTTTTGAAGTTTCCCTCTCATATTTTCCTAATACATATACAAAAAATAAAATAATATCAATTACTTGATAAACGTTGACTTATCAACTTCAACAAATTTAACAATCTGATATTAGCCTGATAATTCAGAGAAAAGTTCAGCGTAACTTTGTTTGACTCGTTGTTGTAATATATATTTTGTTTGATTTGTCATTGTTGTAAATATTTTCAAATGTAACATATTTAAGGTTATATCATCGCTATAAAATTTCAACACGAAATTACACCTAAAACTAAAAAGATTTATTGTAAAATATGGCATTTTTGAAAACATATTTGATAACATAGCTAAAGATACATAAAATAATTTTTTCATTTTCACTTGCATAAAAGGTTAAAATAGCAATAACTTACGTCATCCATCCAAAATATTAAGTTAAAAGTAGTAAGTTTAAAAATATAAATTCATTTTTACAGCCTTTTTGTGAAAAAACTCCAGGATGACATAGGAGTCAAATAGACTGGGCATTCATGGCTAAGTGTTCCAAATTTCAGCCATCTAGGACAGAGATTAGTTATCAAATCTTAGTTAGCTAATGACTGGTTTTACCTAAAACAAGCAAAAAACAGAAATACGCTTTTAAATTAATAAAAGTATCTTAACAATATTTTTTTATATTAATGTAAATATTTAACAATAAAAGATCTTTTCTTTTTTTCTTGATTTGAAGATGAAAGTGTTATTAGCAAAAAACTACTATTATTTTTTTTTTTTTTTTTGAATAATCTTTTTTCTTTTTCCTATATATATAATTATAGCGCAATAATTTTTTGGAATATAACTAATATTGTGCAATTATGAAAAGATTAGTGCCACTGTCAGTATATAAGGCTTACAGTACTGTTCTAAACTTGAACAAATTTTTAATATAAATATAATGCACTAGTTAGAGACTAGGTTTCTTGAAATTAACTTAAGTACTCATAAACAGATCAGACTATTCTTGATTATTCTTATAACTATTCTTGATTATTCTTATAACTATAAGATTATTCTTGTAACTATGCTTTTGCAATATTTTAGGGTTTAATTTATTTTTAGGGATTTTTCATTGCAAATCGAATCGATAGCATTCTTTGGTTGATACGCTTATATATTATCTTCAGTTCACTTCTCTTTTTTGTTCCTTTATTTGGGTAAGTATAATTTTGATGTTTATGTTAAAAATTATTATTGAAGTACAATATAAAGACAATATTTAAAATAATTTAGTTTTTTCGCAAAAAAACTAAATTATTTTGGGACAAGGGGGTACCACCGCCTAAGTTTTTTTTCTAGAATATCCCCTGTATATATATATATATATATATATATATATATATATATATATATATATATATATATATATATATATATATATATATATATATATTTATATATATATATATATATATTTATATATATATATATATATATATATATATATATATATATATATATATATATATATATATATATATATATATATATAGTAGAAGATAAAACTACGTGATTTTCACAACTTTAAGTTTTATGCTGTTACAATCATCAGGTGAAATACAAATATAGTTAATTCGTTTAAAAGTTATATATAATTGAAACTATACAGAAAAAGCCTATACAGAAAAAACTTTTTTTATTGTTATGACTGCGTGTATCTAATCTTAAGGTTTGTGGTTGCTTAATAGAAATTTATTTTTGTGACGACACTTGGAAGTTAACTCTGTTTTTTTGAAGTAGCTCTTCAGCATTTTTATAAAGAAAAATGATCAGTCAATCAGGGGAAAAAAACTTGATAAATAAAAATTTTTAGAGTCTGCAGGGACAGTTACAGTAAACGAATACGACTTTGCTGAATGACCTTCCTTACTAATTTATAAATTATGAGTTAGTAAACAACTTGTAGATTTCTTATACATGTTTATAATCAATTATGGCAAGAATTCAATCATGGTACCAAAAAATACATAAGAGCTTAGTAATAGCAGGGTGTATCAATAATGCTCTTCTTTATAAATAAATCTTCATTAAAGAGGCAGACATCAAATAGAGAAGCAGTTTTTAAGAAACTGTGTTAAAAAATATTTTAATGACAACTAATTATTATGAACATAACTAAAGTTATTATTATTAATGGAAATGACAAAAGCAATATAAAAGCTTCAGCACAATTAACAATTAAAATTGCCTATGTAATGTTACCACTAAAAAAAATTATTTTCACTTCAATTATTTAGAATTCCAGTCTCTTCATAGCTATTGACTAATGATTAACACAGTAAATTTCACATCATATAAATTTACTAATAAAACATATTTCAACAATCGCAAACTAATAAAGCAATGATAACTAAAAAAAAAGAATACAGTTATGTTTAAATAAAAAACTATTTAATTTTAGGATAATTACAATCAGTTATGAAAATTTAATAAAATTTGACTTGTAAAAATAATGTGGAGATAGTATTAACTTTCTCACTCAGAAGTACGTCTTTTGGCGTTCTCGCTAGATAGTATGCCATAGGTGCTTTAAAATATACTTTTATATTTTAATAAAAACTAAAGTTTGCATTGCATTTCTGACTTTTGATTTCAAATCAATAGTCCACAACAGTTTAGAAAAATAATAATTTCATATGGTTTTATTATAATCTTTGCTTACATTTTCACTTTGAAAACTAGATAATCTATGACTTCCTGAGGTCGTCAATTAACACAATCACAAGTTAAAAACATTGATGGTCAAAATTAGTCAAAGTAATGATTCAGATGATAAATAACTGATTTCTCATCATTTATATTGTAGTCTATTTTTCTAACCTTAAAAAGTCAGTATAAACTAATTAAAATCTAAAATATTATTACACTTCTTATCAACCTTGTTTTATAGACATATTTAATGTATAATTATATGTAAAAATTGTTAAGTAACATGTGATAAAACTATATTTAAGGTATACCACTTGTACTCTATAGAAATGTGTTTTCATGTTCTCAGTGTCAATATATTTTTAAAACAACTAGCAATTTAATTCTTAAAATATTTACTCATAGATTTGGCTAAACTATAAGTACTATTTTTTTAAATTTTGAAAAAAAAAAAAAAAAAAAAAAAATTGAGCAAAGTCTAAGGGTTAAAACTAAAGTATATATAATAAATCTGATAATCTAAAAAATAATAGTCATAAAAGTTCATAATAACTAAGTAATTATAGTAATGAGAAACAAAAAGAATAGTATCTTAAAAAATAGATATATGTAAAGTTGTATTTCAATTAAAATATAAAATATAGCTCGTATCTGATGGGTTCAATAATTTGTAACTTGATATTGGTAAAAAAAATATTAAAAAATATAACTTGGCCTGGATAATGATCTTGCTCTGTACATTGCTAAGTAAAACCACTTTATATCAAAATATCGAAAAAACAGATTGTATATATATATAAACTTTAAACATATTATATTTTATCAACATATTTTATAAACTATAAACATTTAAACATACTGATCGAAAACTATAAATTAATAACATTAGTGTATTTTTTCAGTTATCTCACGTCACTATATTGGGTTGCAGGCAAAAGTAATCAAAGATCTGGTTTACCATACTTTTTAATTATAGCCATAGCATTTTCAAAGTCTTTTAAAGTCTTCCTACATAAAATGATGGCAAAACTATAAAGCACCCTTGTCTAACATGATTGTTTTCAAGGTTGTTCACATGTTTATGTAAGACATCATACTGTTGGCTTCTTTGTTAGTTATATCTGATGAAAGCAAGACACTGCCATTCAATTTAAACATATGTATTAACAGCATATTATGCCAAAATAGTTTCTTGCCATAAAATATTAAAGAAGTTTTGTCTTACTGAAAGTCTATAATTGTAACACCGAGAAAATTTAACATGGTTTCTAACCAGTGTTGCATGTTTAATGTTGCATGTTGTACACCAAGTAATTATAAAAAGCAGCATCATCTCTTAGAAAAAAATTGAATAAACCATAAGATCAAAGTCATTAATATAAAGTTAGTAAGTGACAGGTACCTCGGCCCCTGCTAAAAACTAGATTTTTCACAAACCTAGCCTCGACCCTAGATTTAACAGGGGTTGATAGCCAGGGCTAGGAAAAAACTTATAATGATTTATATATTATAAGTTTATGCATATATCATATATTTTAATTCTTTACTATTTATTAAATACTGATATATATTTATATGTATTTTTAAAACTGATTTATTTCCAACAAGATTGTAAGCAACTATTATTTGCTTATGAGTTATTTATACTAGAAAATAAAAAATAAAGTAAAAAAAAACATGGAAACGGTTAACTGAAGACTTGTAAAAGTAGAAGATTGAAAAGTTGTGGGTTGTATGAGTAAGAAGAATATGAAGATGAGTGAGAGTTTTAAAGTTTTGTTGATGTGCAAAGAAAAAAACTAGATAAATAAAAATTTTTATAACATAAAGGAACAGATGCAGCAAAAAGCTGTGACTTTGCTGAATGACAAGGCAAACAAGAATGAGTTTTGGTTGATCAAACTAGAGATGATAGCTCGTTTGAGCAGCAACCATAATAGTATTTATAGAAAAAAAGAGAGAGATGCAACCTTACAACCATGGTAGAGAGGCTCAAGTTTGCAGATGAAGCAGGTCCAGCATTTTTGGATATAGTCTCAGAGTGAGAGGGTTGTTATTCACTAATATAGGATTATTAATAATATTGTGATAGTTGTTTGCAATAAATAACTGAGTTTTTTTGGAGTTGAAATCCACAAGCCGCATGTAAGTCCCTGTTACAAAAAATTGATCAGAGTATCAGATGTTTGTGTTGAGCAATCAAATAGTGAAGACTTTTTGTCAAGATTATAAATTTGAGTTGTCAGCAAATATAGTCATTTTATATGTTAAATTGTCAGAAAAATTGTTATTGTATATCAGAAACAATACAGGAGCAAAGATAGAAGATTGCTGTAGTCTTTTACCCATTGCTGAAAAGTGAAGGGCTTTGAAAATGACTTAAATACTGAGCTTAGACGGAAATGATTTACCAATCTCCAAACCATTAAATAAATAAAATAACAATAGAGATATCCTAGTTTTTTTTAAATTGGAACTTATTTAGCTCATTATTTTAGCTCTTAAGCAAGGATTGAAGTGAGTTCTGGAGAACAGTTTTGTAAAATTATGATGGAAATGTTGTCTGGACCACAAGCCATAGAATAGTTTAATTGAGAGTTGACTTTAGTATTGGAAACCGAAATGATTTAGATGTCTAACAATGGATTAATCCGTTTAATTTGCCAGTTAAACAGATTAATCAGATTAGATTTGTAAGAAGAGTATGGCCATTAGATTCAAGATTCAAATTAGAGAAAAAGTTCTCTGCAAATAACTGGAAAATTTTGAAGAAGTAATAAGATTATGAGATTACAAAGACCCTTGAAATAGAAAAGACTTACTTTAGTTGAAATAGAAATGTTAGACTTTAGTTAATGTCGCTGTTAAAAATTTTCCTAGAAATTCTCTAGAACCTTACATCTGAGATAAGATACAAGATTTAGTAAACTGAGAGTATTGGTGTTTAACATCAGACAGGAGCTTTTTACATTGACTCTTGCAATAATAAAAAGTCATTTGTTCTCAAAAAGAGATGTTACTGTAAAAATGATGAAAAAAAAGATTATTATTTAATATAGCAACCACACAAGAAGGTAAAAAACATGAAGTATAATGAGGCTTGACTTGAAACCTACTAAAAGAAATAAAAGTTTCCATACCTGCTTTAGATCCAGGAGGTTAGGTAAGATGCGCATTTATGCATACATAATATCGATGTACATAGATTTATTTATATGCTACAATATCTTTACATATTTATATAAACTTTAGTATTTATATGGTGCAATATTTGCTGATAGAAAAGATAAAATAGATGGATGTGTGATTTGACTCTAAAAAGATAAGAAAAGGAGCCGTATTCTTAGACAGAGATTAGAAAAAACATTGTATCAAACAACGATTTTTAGAGAAAAATAGAGGTAGCAGCTTCAAGAGAGATTTTCTCCTGAAGGTGCAACACCTTCAGGAGAAAATAATAATCATTATATATATATATATATATATATATATATATATATATATATATATATATATATATATATATATATATATATATATATATATATATATATATATATATATATATATATATATATATATAAAACTGTAATAAAACGGTTTTATTAGTTTGATAATGTTTCTTACTGTATGAGCTGAAATATCACTTATAGAGAAAAGAAATAAATAGTATGATACCATATATGATGTTTTATTGCTTATAATTACACATACTATTAAAGATGTCACTTAAATTTTATATATATATATATATATATATATATATATATATATATATATATATATATATATATATATATATATATATATATATATATATATATATAGTATAACATTAAGTTTGAATTAAAAAAAAATACTTTAGGGCGTACCAATAAACATATTAACAGCACTACTACTGTAGTAACCAATAAACATATTACCAGCATTACTAATTTAGTAATCAATAAACATATTAACAGTATTACTACTATAGTAACAAATAAACATTAACAGCATTACCACTGTAGTAACAAATAAACATATTAACAGCATTACTACTGTAGTAACCAATAAAGATATTAAAAGCATTACTACTGTAGTAACAAATAAACATATAAACTGTATTACTACTGTATTAAACAATAAACATAAACGAGTCTTAAGAAGATCTTTTATATTAAATTACTTAATACTCAAATTGAACAAAATAATAAAATTACTTCTACTACTACACTAAGTGAACAAAAGAAAACTAACTTTCAAAAATCACAGTTATTAAAAAAAAAAAATTATAATTAAATTTAACAATTAGAGACGAAACTAAATAAAAATATATAAAATCAATATTCTAAAGTTGTAAAAGCATATTTTTAAGAACATATCTGTAAAGAGATAAATATCAATATTATAACAAATAATAATATTCAAATAAAAATTAACAGAAACCTGCAATTCTAATAACAAAGATATTATTTGGTAATAAAAAACAACAACACAATGTTGAATCTTATTTTATTTCTAAGCTAAAAAACAATTTAAACTATTTAAAAGAGCATAAAAAGTGATGCAAAATTCCCTTTTTAAAGCAGTATATTAAAAATAAAATCAAATGCCATTACTTCAGAATATATATGCTATATAATTTAACTCATTGGTTTAACAACTGGTTTACCATTAAGGTCAATACTGGAAAAAAAATTTAAAAATAAAAATTCTTAACTACTTTTATTAAAATTTTTATAAAAATTGTTCAAAAAAATTATATTTAATTTATTGAAGTCTATATCTTTTTATAAGGCTATATAGATAACTGTATATATAAGTTACAAATTAGTTTGACAAAAAAATAAATACAAACTGATTATGAAATGAGCTTATATGTTTTTAAAGTATAAAACAATATTTAGTAACATCAATTATCTTAAATTTAACAAAGAATCTTGTATAAAAAAATGAGACAATGTCAGTCATTATATTTTTATATATTTTATAATTAAAAAGATGAAACAATTTAACAAATGTAACAATTATTAAAATATATATACCCACATACCTTTAAAGAGAAGCATAACACTTCAAACAAAGAAACATGGAGAAGCATTATCATTCTTTTTTGACTACTTCCAGAATTTTTTTTTATTCTTTATTATTTTTTTTAACAGAAAATAATAATAATAAGCCTTATTTTATTTAGTTTTTCATGTTAAATACAAAATTAAAAATAAAATTGAATAGCAAATTTAATCAAATCAGAATCAGTTTGACTGTCTAAAAAATTTTATTCTTATTAAGCCTTCTAATAACAAAAAATAATAATAAAGTGACTTGAAGTCACTTTATTAATATTTTTTTCAATTAAAAAATAAAATTGCTAAGCTACTAGGATAGTTCTTAAAAATCTAACCAGACTAAGTAAACCAATAACAAAGAAACATTATTTGTTAAAACAGCTAATAAAAAAATTGAAAATGAGCATCAAATCTCGACAAATCAAGACTTCAGTGACTAAAATATAAATGTTGTTTTCTTGATGCTATTTTTCTGGAACACATTTTTTATTTGTAGGATAAAAATGTATTTATAAGTTTTTAATTTTACATACTAGTTTGGTTGTTTAATTTGCTCGATTTATGCAAAAATAGTTTCGTATATTTTAACAGACAACTCATTTTTTTGATTATTTTAAAAATCATGAGTATATATATATATATCAGGCTTGGTCGGGAAGCCGGAGCGATCGCTCTCGATTGCTGACCACATAAATAGTATTTAGTTGCGAAAAGCTGGCCATATTTTTTAGTAGTTTTGAGAACATTTTAAAAAGCAAAAAAAAAAAGCGACAAAGATTAATTGGACCAATGAGAGACGATTACAAAAAAAAAAAAAAAATAGGCAAATAAAATATCTTTAAACGCAAAAAAATTTAAAGCTAAGTAAATACATTTAGAACAAATGTTTTCGAAACATCGCTCTTTTATAATTTTTTTTATAAAATTAAATGTTTTTTATATAAAGTAACAACTTTCGATTGTTTAAAAGGGAAACAAATATTCTTTATTTAACTAAGTTTGCAAGTTTTAGTTTTACTTAAGCTTAATTTATTTTATAAATAAAAAAGTTAATTTTTTTAATACCTATTTTATGTTTCGCGTAGTTTAAAAAGTTTAACATATTTGAAGCGATTCTTCTTAGTAAGATAAACAAATGAAATAATTAAATCATTGAATTACTATAAGAATTAAATTATCAAGATAGAAATCAACTGAAAAGGTTAAAAATACTTAATGACCAGGAAGCGAAACTGCTTCACAATATCGCTGATGATGTTTAGTGAGTGGCTTTTTTAATTTTAATTAGTATTTAAAGCAGAAAAAAGTATAACGAGTTTTAAGAATGGCAACTTAAGCAAAAATAATTAGAGTTAGTAAACCAATATCTAGAAACTTTTCTTTATATCTAATTATTTGCTATATATATTTGTGTTCTGTCGTGACCTCAGGCGCGATGCTTGTTCATCCGCGAGTTACTTTGTATATGTTGTTTGTGTTTAGTAACCAGAAACTTCTTATATGTTTGTTACATAATTTGTTTTATTAACTTTAACGATTATAACTTCAATTATTTTTGTAAGTCTTTGTTTAAATCATAAAAATTGCTTTAAAAGATACATTACGATAAAAAACAAATACACAAAATTACATTTACATAAAGAATACAATCTCTTTTAAAATAAAATAAGAATATACTAATAAAATCTATGATTTATAATAAACTTTTAAAATTTTAACAATTTAATTAATATATATTTAAAACATTTATTTTCGTAAACAAATAATATATATTCTTAAAACAATGCTAAAAATCTTAAAACGTAACAAATCGTGAATAATACAATTTCTAAAACATTTTAACAGAATACTCTAGAACTTTATTTCACTTAATCAGCGTATTTTTTGAACCAATAGAATTAGTTTGTTCGTTAATTTGGCGGGTTTTTAGTGTTTGCAAATATTCTTTTTATTCTTTCGCACAAAGATGTTTTGAGAACATTCAAGTTTTTTATGTTTCCATGTACGTCCGTAAACAAAAATTTTTTGTTTCGTACATAAACTTAAATGTTCTCAAAACGACTAAAAAATCTGACCAGTTTTACGCAACTAAATATAATTTCCAAGGTCAGTATTCGAAAGCGATCGCTCCCGCTTCCCGACCAAGCCTGATATATATATATATATATATATATATATATATATATATATATATATATATATATATATATATATATATATATATATATATATATATATATATATATATATAAAGTATATGCTTAAATTTTCAGAACAGAACTTGGTGCTTCTTCTTACAAAAAAGTTTTAATAGGTTCTGCTGCTATATCAGCTCTTCGTTTGCATCAAAGATTGCCGGTATATATTTATTTAAAAAATATTAATAATAATTTAAAACTAAATTGTAATTAAAAAGTATTGTAAATCTTTTTTTCTCACCAAACTGTATAAGAGTTTGTTATGTTAAATATATGTGTAAATTAATATAATAATAATAATAATTTTATATATATATATATATATATATATATATATATATATATATATATATATATATATATATATATACACACAACCCTAGGAATTAGGGTCGACATTCGGCAATGCTGACCTAACTGCGGACCATAAAGTGTTTGAGGTCGACAAATATTTTGGTAATTTAATCGCTGCAACATTTAAAATGTAAGAACTAATACATAATATATATATATATATATATATATATATATATATATATATATATATATATATATATATATATATATATATATATATATATATATATATATATATATATATATATATATATATGAGGGAGAGAGAGATTTAGCCATATTTGCATAGTCTTTTACTTCACTAGTCACATGCTTGGATATATTAATTCACTCATTTGTTGCAAAATCAGGTTTAAATGTTCAAACTATTCTTTTATGTACTTTCTTTTTTTTTTCCATTTCGTACTTTCATTCTTTAGCATTTTATATTTTGACTAGATTACCTTTCTTTTTGTTATTTATTGTTTTCTTTTTTTTTTCAAGACTGCACACAAATTAATATGGTTTCTGACCAAACTAAAGATTTCACTGAATCCATTTGCCAATATTGTTGTTAATGATGACTTTACTTCTCATCATACTTAATAGCTTTACTTGAGTACCCTACTGACACTAAAGCTCAAATTTTTAATACTTAGATTGTTAACTTTGTGACTCGATTTTACAGGCAACCCTAGTTACTTACCTTCTCTGCTTGTTTTATGTTTTGTCTCTGAGCATAGCTTGTGCTCAATTTTACTTTTGTGATGGTCCTTGGGCTGATGTCTTTTATTTTTTTGCTAGAAGTTGTGTTTCTTACATTGTCTCCTGGATTCAGGCCAATGTTGAAGCTTTTATTCCATTTATTAGTTAAAGTCAAGGCTTACTCGACTCCGTGGTTTTCTTCTTGAGCAGCTGCTATGTCTAATTTTAATAATGTTTTTCAGAAGAACAACTTTTTTGATAACAAACATATTTTTATCATGAAATCAATGCAAAAATGTAAAGCATGACACCTGGATAGTGTATAGCTGAGCATAGTGAAAATGTATAATAAAATATATATAAAATATATATAATGACTCCTGAACGTGTGAAGCTTCATTACTCTCATATATGGTTCTAGAGACTTGGAAAGTCTTTAATATTGTCAGTTATTTTTGATCCTGTTGCTCTGCTGCTGATTATTGATTACATTTTAATTGCTTAGAACAGGCTTAGAGGTTGCAGTGGTTAAAGAATTTTAGTTCAAGCAAAACTTTTATTTACTGCCAAAAATTATTGTTGATAATTATTGTTGAGTCAGAAACTATATAATTGTTGTTGAATCGGAAACTATATAATTGTTGTTGAGTCGGAAACTATATAATAGTATTTGTTAAACTATTTCAATTTTAAATATAAAACTTTTTTTTTATATATATATTTAACTCTATTTTTATGTTTTAATGTTAAGAGTACTATTTCAATGTATTTCTTTTTATAGAGGATTCAATTAACAATTCAGTTTGCTAAAGATCTGCTATTACAAGACAGTTTTCATTACTTGATTTATAGCGTCTTGTTTTTGACAGCTAATTCAACATCTAGTATCTTTTTATAACATTTTTTGTTTGTTTTATATTTTGTTTTATTCATATATATTTTTTAATTGTTTTATTTATAAATCAACATCTCTAAATATACTCAGCCCTCGGAATTAGGCTCAGCACTTGGCTCTGTAACCTTTTGTCAACCTCTTTTTTTTTTTTTATGGTAATCCCTTTGTGTCAAATTTTTTTTGATAATTAGATACATTTGATTGCAGTTCATTTGGTGTTATTAAAAACAAAAAGAATTTGATATTATATGTTAGTAATAATTTGTAATGCAGTATGTGAACTAATGTAAAGCATCATAGCGGTAATGTACTTATGGTGTTCAATCGCACAAATGATTATCTTTCTGTTACATATTGTTTATCTAAATGTTTATTATCTAGAATCAACTTTTTGGGTGGAGTAAATTAATGCTTTTGAGTTTAAACTATTTAAAAAAATTGTTTTTTTTTTTAGAAATAAATTTTAATAAAGCAGTTATTTTCTTTAATCTAATTTTTTATAGTGGTTTTATTACCTATTTTGTTGTTTGCTGTTATGCATGCAACTAATTATACTCAAAAAGTTCTTAATGTGAGTTTATTATACTTTTATGTTGTGTATGATTCATATTGTAATAAATTGTTTCATGGTGTTTTTATTAATAAAGTATACCCAGAATTATATATTGTTTATATTGTATACCTCATAAATCTCGATTTGGTTGAAAATGAGCTTCACATGCTGAAAGGTTTAAAAAAAGTTTTTCACCACTATAATAAACCTGTGCACTAAATCTCAAGGAAATTATTATAAAAGTATGATTTATAAATAAACACATGTTATTTTTATTTTCTCTATTAAAAAAAAATAATTTGAATAAATGATGTTTATAATGATTGGTTAGCATATAATTAAATTTGAATAAGTTATAAAAAAAGTGTTTTTGTAATATTAAGTTTATAACGTTGTATTTATTATATTTAAATTTATCTATTTTTTAAACATTTATAGTTTTACTAATCTTAAATCTAATTTTTTTTTTTAATTTACTTTTTCCACCTCTTTAATTCCACTACAATCTATGAGGCTGCTCATTTTTTATCATTTTTTAAACCTATTGTTACAACCCTTTCTCAATCTTTTAATTCTATAACTCAGACCTTGATGAAGGTCACTACATGGAAAAACAAGTTAAGGATGGTACAACCAGTGGTATGGTGTATATTAATATTGCTACTATTTTTTATAAGGCTTCTTAGACTAGGAACTGCTTTAAAATTTAGTTTAATAGTTCTTAGGCTGGCTGTTGTAAAGATTTTCTGATTTCTACTAGCTCTCAGTGAGGCTGATTTCATTAACAGTTGTATAATATCAGAGTTTGCAAATGAATAGTGTTTTATCCTTGTACAGCATGGCTCTTAAATTGCTCTGTCAATTGCCAAACAACAATCAAAGTCATAGCAAAGGAAATTTTTATGTTCTTTTAATTTCTTAAATTCTTTGTTACAACTTTAATTGATTAGCAAGAATTAGTGAACTTTAATATTGAATATAAATATTGAATATAATAATGAATATAGTGACTATTAATATTGAATGTAAATATTGATTATAAATAAGAGTATAAATATTGAAAAAATGAATATTGTATTATTATTCAAAATATGAGTATGAGTACTGTTGTGTGTGCATGTGTTAATTTAAACTAAACCTGGCAGAATGGTTTCTTTACATTTAGATAAGTCGTTCTAGCAGCTTCTTGGCATTGAAGTATTTTTTTTCTTTATTTAATATTAATAATTAATAGTTTTTTAGTTAATTTTTAAAGTTATAAGAATTATACATTTTTTTTGTAAAATTCTGTAAATTATTTTTTCAATTAATAGGCTTCGTCAACTAATAAACAAAATTGACCATCCTGAAACCCAGCAACAATTACTGCAGTTTATAGCTACAATTGAAATCATGGTGTTTTTTACAACTATACTAATGGCATTTAGGTGTGAAATGTGTATGCTTTTTTCAGATATAAATATATAAAGGACAGTTTGGAGAAATGACCTTAGTCTCAACGACATTTTTTTTAGCTATTCAAAAAATAAACTCTGAAAGTCTAAGAAAACTTAATAGTTTTTTAGACTTTAAAAGCCAAATATAATAATCAAATAGCATAAATAACAAAATATCGTAAGATTGAGGCAATTTTTCCATGCAAAATCTGTAAGAATAGATACATAAGTAAAAGTGGACTCTGGTCATTTTTTCATGTTACTCAAATATGTATGGTTCTTAATTTGGAATTTTTATATTTTATGTCTTGTTTCAGTGGGCAAGGCACAATATTGACTCCATTATTTTATTATCGTTTTTTACAACTTCGTTATACTTCAAGAAGGAATCCTTACTCAAGGTTACATTAAATTAGTTAATCACAACATTAGTTTTGATTGAATTATAATTTAATCAATTTATTATAATTATTTATTTGTTTATTATTATCTGAATTATTGTAATTTTATATCTGAATATTTTTCTAGACTTGTATTTAATCAGTTCAGATTGGGAATTGAGCAAATAGCATGTCACCCAAAATGCCCTTCTATTGTGCGTCGAGTTTTGTATGGCGTTGTTTCAATAGCAAACCGTCTTTCACCTAGTTATGCTTGAACCAGGATAAAATTGCAGTCAAAAATGTTTTTTTTTTCATATTCGGATTAGAATGAAATAATTTTAAATGTTTTAGACTTGTATTTTTTAGTTTTAAACTTTTTATTTATTTAACTCTTTGTTTAATTAAGTGAAACAAAATAGGTTTTAAAGATATTTAATAATTAAAACAAAAAGAAAGTACATAAAATATTTCATAGTTAAATTGAAAATTAATAGTTAAGTTTTTCTTAGTAAAAAAAAAAAAACAGCAAAAATTATTTGTATATTATTATATATTTTAGTTAGGTCTATATTATTTTAGGAATAAATTTTAAGAATAAATTTCAATTGAAGAATTCTTCATTGGTTTGTAGTGTTATTTGTTTCAGAATGCAGAACCTGGTTTTTGATTAAAATTGTAAGATGATTAGAAACACACAGACATAGAGTTGTATTCTTTTTTTGAAACAAAATAAAATGCATTTTGAAAAAAAAGAAATTTATTTTTAAAGTTTTTTTAAAGTTTTTATTAACTTCAGCTATATTATGTAAGAGGACATTATAGTACTAATCCCTATACATAAAAACATTTATTACTCACACACATACACACACCTATATATTATACATAAATATATACATGTTTGTATACATTTGTGTATATGTATAATATATATGTATATTTAAGTTCAAAAATTTGCAGACAAAGCATTTATATTTTAAAAAGTTGAAACTTTTAATGATATTTGATCAAAATTCATTAAAAATGCAAAATAACATTTTGTTAGACTGTGTAAAGGTAGTCCTACAAGACTATTTTGTCAAGAACAACTTTGCATCATTGAGGCATAAAGTCAACTAAATTAATGCGAACATCAATGGTAATGCAGTGCAATATTCTTTAATTTTTATGAATAAATTAACATGATTTGTAGCTTGATGTTTGACGATCAAAATGTCACCATAAATAATCAATGGCATCTAATTTCAAGTAAATCAGTTGATTGGAATATTATTTTCAAAACACAAGTTGTACTCTTTTTGAAGAATTCTTGAATTGATTTGTCTGTGTGCTTGTAATTGTTATCCTGATGGCATTTATCCACAAGGTATTTTATCCTTTGCATGAGGTAACACTATACTCTTATATATTTCTTGATCAATAATTCCAGTATATCTATGGAACAAATCAACACCTACCTGACTAAAGCATCACAACCCGTTTAGATAACTTCCTCCATGTTTTATGGGTAAGCAGTTGGGATTTAGGATCATATTTTGTACCTGCTGGATGTCAAACAAGCTTGATTCCATCATCACTAAAATCTTTTACCAATGTTGACTAATCTGCTTTAGATGCTGTGATGCTAATTCTTCTGGGGGGTTTCAGTAATACAATGGCTTATAGGCTGAATATCTTCCAAACACATTTGCATGATGTAAATAACGATTGTAATAGAATGTTTTTTTTTTATAATTATTCACCTCCCCAAGGCCCGAGGGGGCCACTACAGTCTAGGAGGCTACTCTTTTTTTTTTATTATTTATTTTTTTTATTTTTTGTTGTAAATTGTGGTACAACCCTCTCTTAACTCATTAACTCCGACACACGAACCTTGACAAGCAAGGCCGCTGCGCAGAGAATTTAAGTTGAGCACGGTACTTCCAGGGACATGGTGGGAGTCAAACTCCGAACCTCTCGCTTGCAAAGCGAGTGCTCTTACCACTACACCACTACCGCATTTAATGGAATAATTGTAGTAGAATTGTTGCATAAAAGCATTTTATTTCTTCATTTAAATCATTAGTTGTTATTTAAACTTGGTTTTTTCATTTAAATAAATAGTTGTTATTTAAATTTGGTTTGTTCATTTAAATCAATAGTTGTAATATATATATATATATATATATATATATATATATATATATATATATATATATATATATATATATATATATATTCTTTTATTTTTTTTTTATTTTTTTTTTAACTTTAGTTTTTGCCATTATCTGTCAACTTTAAAAGTAGTTTACAATTAAAAGAAAGATATAATAAGGTATATAAATTGGGCTTTTTTTTTAACTTAATAGTTTGAGATTGCTATTGAGACTTTTGAGATGTACTTCTGAAGAAAAATATTTTTTACATAAATATGGACATGATTCCATAGGTGTATTGATTCCAAAGGTGTATTGGCTTTATTTAATAAAAATTAAATAAAGCCAATACACCTTTCATTCATTTAAAGTAAAAGTTCATGCAGAAGCCTTACGGTTTAAAAAAAATTATAACCCTTATATGTGTACATTTATATATATATATATATATATATATATATATATATATATATATATATATATATATATATATATATATATATATATATAACTTTTTGCATTATTGAGCAGATAAAAATTTATAATTAAAACTATAACCATAATTATTTGAATGTTTGTTTCTCTACATGTATTCTCTAGATGTTTTCTAATAATGCCAATACTTTTTTTTTATTAATATTATGAATACCATTCTCATTCTTTTGGTTATTTTAAAAGGTAATAGAATAGAATTTTCAAGGTAATAAAGTAGAATGTTTGTATACAGAATATTAAGAGTATTCATAATTGCATAAGAATGTTAAGTTGTCTATCTTTGTATTTATTTATTTTATAAATAGTTTATTGTAATTATTATTTTACATAACTACTTGGTTTTTTATTTTATTTTATTTGTTTAAATTGAAAAAAATAGGTATGCATGTGCATAACTTTTTCTGAATTTTTTTTACAAGATACAAATTTCAAGATTTTGAAATGACGGTGAAAAAACGGTGAAAGACTTCAAGTTTTTCAGATTTAATCCTTTTATTTTTAAATACAAATAATTTTTGAAATATTTATATGAAAATTTTTGTTTCAATTTTAAAACAATTTAATCAAATAAAATTATTTAGCCCTAGATAGTAAGCTCTGCCAATGTCTATAAATATAAATTTGATAAAAAACCCAAGTTTAGCTAGGCCAATTGTCTGTTTATAAGTTCTTAAAAATTTTGACTTACTGATTAATGGTTTGTTTGAAGATAGTAGTATATTATAAATTTCAATAGCTTCTTCTTTTAGTTATCTGTAACAAGTGCTACAGTTACAAAAGTATGAGTATTAATAGTTTCCTATTTATGCTGATGACATGTTTTTGCTACTCTGTCTGCTGTCATGATTGTTTAAGACACCCTTTGTTTTCAACAAAAACTCCATATAATTTGGTGTCAAACAATAACACTAATGTTACCATAATTCCAGGATGTCAAGTTGTTCAGATCAATATGGTGCATCGACATGGTCACCGGTACCCAAGCAAAGAAGATATAAGTTCAATGGAACACTTATTTAATCTGCTTCAGTTTGCTGATAAGGTCTTAGTTCAAAGTAACATTTCGATCCCAAATAAGATTCCTTTTGTTGTTAAGCACGAAAAGTTGTTAAATCAGGTAGGGGAAAAAGATCTGTATAACATTGGTAAAAGAATTCGCAAGCGCTTTCCACATTTATTTAATAAAGGATACTCGTCTGATTTGTTTAAGTTTGTCAGTTCATGTAAAACACGTTGTCTACAAAGCTCAAGTGCACTTGCATCTGGGTTGTTTGAAGGAACAGGATCTCTTGGAGCATGCCGATTTCAGCCTGTTTCTATTGAATCTCGATCTTGTCATCAAGATCAGCATTTAAGGTTTTTTGATTTATGTCATAGATATATTGTTGATGTTAAAAACAGCTCTTTGTCTCTGGAAGAGATGAGGCTTTTTGGTAAGAGTTCAGAAATAGCTGAGATTATCCGAAAAATCAAAAAAAAACTTGGTCTTAATCAAATTGTCACAGAAAAACATTTAGAAGCATTGTATTTGTATTGTGCATATGAAATCGGTATATTTAATGGAAGTTTTATCACAGGTTTATGCTCACTCTTGAATCAAGAGGATTTACATGTTTTAGAATATTACTTAGATCTTAAGCACTACTACCGACGTTCTAAAGGTTTTTCAGTTACTTATGAAAGCAGCTGTCCTCTGTTAGTTGATTTCATTAGTAGTTTAAAAATGGCTACTATGAATGAAAGAAAATTTTTTAAAGGTATCTTTCGATCTTCTCATGCTGAAACAATTATTCCATTTATTACTTTGCTTCGTCTTAACTTGGATGTTACAAAGCTAACCGCTAAAAATTTTAATGAGATGAAAAGCAGAAAATTTCGACCTAGCTGTATATCTCCGTTTTCTGGGAATGTATATTTTGTTTTGTATGATTGTGGTAGTAAGAAGCATAAAATTCAACTTTACATCAATGAATATTTAGTTAAAATACCTTGTTGTGAGTCTGAGTATGAATGCGATTTTAAGACTTTTTTAAAATGCTATGAAAGTATTGTGGATAATTGTAACTTTGATGAAATTTGTAGTTTAAAAAAAACTGAACTTTAGTTTGAGTTCAATTGCCAAAAAGTTCAATTTAAAGTTTTGTAACTTTTTTAAAGTTTATTTAAGTTTTTCATTTAAAATGTTGCACATTTGATCAATTTCATTTGATCAGGTTTTTATTTTTATTTTATCAATAGTTATACAATATATATTTATACAACTAGATTTTAGTAATTATATTTCAAATCTTGATATTTCTTTTAATTGTCTAAGTAATTTTTATTTTTATTTTTATTGAATGAGTATTATACACTTTGTCAATAGCAAAAAAAAATTTTTGCATTAAAGAGTTTTATTTTAAGAGTGCTTTTTTGACATAAGAATTAGAACTTCAGTTTCCAAAATGAGGTTGTCACATAGTCATCATCTTACTAGTTAAGATAATTGTTGCAAAACTTTTTTGGTCTTTTAATTCCAAGGCTTCTCTTTACTGTTGTAACTATTCATTTCTATTTTTATAGTATTGTAATTGTTCCAGTAGAAATTTCCTCGACAAGTTTTGAAATGTTCATTTACAATGGCAATAGTCTTAATCATGATGATAATGTCATGATATCATTTTGGAAACCAATATTCTAATTCTTACGTCAAAAATTCAAAGAAAAAAAAAAAAAAATTCTTCAAAAAAAACTCTTTTCAATAGTGTTTTTTTAAAAAGAACTTTGTTGCATAATAGGTTTTGTATACTATTATGATTCTATTTTTAGAACATTTTTTAAATAACGAGCGTATCAATATTTCAATGAAATATCGTAAAGTTAAATATTCTTAACAAATAGAGTTAAATCCATAAAAAGAAGTTTTGTATAAAAAAGTAAAAATACAAAATGTAGATTTAATGAGTAATAATAGTAAGTTGTTCATGTCTTTATTTTTATTTTTTTTTTTATGATTTTTGTAAATTTTTTTTTTTAGGCCTAAGCTATGATTTTAGGACTAATACTGCTTATTCAATTCTTAAAACCTTCCTATGGTAATGAGTGTTGGAACAATCCACTATTTTCTTCAAAAACTCCATATAAGTTAGTTGGAAATATGAACTTGGATGTGAAGTATCCAGATGGTTGTAAACCTGTTCAAATAAATTTAGTTCATCGCCATGGCCACCGTTATCCTAGTAGAAAAAATATAATTGAGTTTAGTGATATGTTTGACATCCTTAAATCAGCTCATCAAGCATCATCAAAAGATTTTCCCACTGAAAATCCATTTACAGTAGATCAAGATAAACTACTAACTGTGGTGGGTGAAGAAGAAATGTATGGTATTGCACAGAGAATACGGCAGCGATTTCCTGAGTTATTTACTCAGAGTTATTCATCAGTATTTCACAAGTTTGAAAGTTCTTGTAAATCACGTTGCTTGCATAGCTCAAGTGCATTTGCTTATGGTTTATTTGAAGGCACTGGTGCTCTTGGAGAATGCCGCTTTCAACCAGTTGCAGTTAGAACTCGGCCATGTGATGTTGATATGGTATTAAGATTCTTTCAGCTTTGTCAAAAGTATGTTGCTGAAGTCGAAGAGAACAAATCAGCAGTCACTGAAATGAAAAAGTTTGGTTTAGGTGATGAAGTCCAACTTGTCATTAATAAAATGAAGAAAAAGCTTGGGCTACCAAAAATTGATATAAAACTATTAAAATCTATGTTTTTGTTTTGTGCTTATGAGATTGGTATCTTTAATGGAAGTACTAACTCTGGTTTATGTTCTCTATTTGATAATAATGATTTACAAATTTTGGAATACTATCTTGATCTGAAACATTATTACAGAAGGTTTTCTGCTTTTCCTATAACTTATAAAAGTAGTTGTCCTTTGTTAGCTGATGTTGTAAAACATATGAAAAAAGCTTCCTTAAATACAACTGAATCACTTGGTGGTATTTTTCGATCTTCTCATGCTGAAACAATTATGCCATTTATTGCTTTACTTGGCTTAAATAAAGACCCAGTTGAATTAAGAGCTGATAATTTTAATGAGATGAAAAGCAGAGAATTTCGACCTAGCTGTATATCTCCGTTTTCTGGAAATGTGTATTTTGTTTTGTATGATTGTGGTAGTAAGAAGCATAAAATTCAACTTTACATGAATGAATATTTAGTTAAAATACCTTGCTGTGAATCTATGTATGAGTGCGACTTTGATACTTTTTTGAAATGCTATGAAAGTATTGTGGATAATTGTAACTTTAATGAAATTTGTAGTTTAAAAAAAACTGAACTTTAGTTTGAGTTCAATAGTTCAATTTAAAGTTTTGTAACTTTTTTAAAGTTTAAGTTATTTAAAAAATGTTGTAATATTGCACATTTGAACAATTTCTAGATTTTTATTGTAAGTTTTGTTTTAACATTTTAAACTATAGTTATACAATATATATTTATGCAACTAGATTTTGGTAATCATATGGTAAATCTTGATTTTTCTTTTAATTTTATTGTTTTCTTTTTATTTATTACATTTAAACTTAGTTTTTTCCAAGTTTTTAAGATTTTATGTCTCAATATTTAAAAAAAAAAAACACTATTTTTAAACCAAATGTTTATGTTAACTTATATTTATAATAAATTTAGTTAAAAAATGTTGTGTTGTAAAATATGTGTAATTAATTATTTTATATATATATATATATATATATATATATATATATATATATATATATATATATATATATATATATATATATATATATATATATATATATATATATATATATATATATATATATATATTAGGACAATTATTTTTGGTTTAATCCCAAATTAAATCAAAGTTTATAGTTTTCAGAACTTTATTTTTTATGGATTTGTAATGTAATTAAGGGTATAAATAATGTAATTAATGTATAAATAAGGGCTATTTATAAAATAAAACATTGGGCAAAAGGCCTCCACAGCTTAGCTGGCTCATACACACTCTTTTGTTAAAATTTTTAATGTTTTGCATAAATGTGGCATTGATGCTATGTTTAGTTCCTCCTGTAATGCACAGGTAGTTATGGACTTGTTGGCATCTTTGACTTCAAATAACCCCATTTAAAGCAATCTAATGGTGTTAAATCACACTATCTAGGGAGCCAACTCTGATAACAGAAATAAGAGAATACATGCTCAGGAAATGTCTCAAGCAATAGTTGAGCACCACATATTAGCCTTGTCAATATTGTTTAATTTTGGCAGGAAGTACTATTTTATCATGTTGCGATATGGAGCACATAAGTCACTACTTGACCAGCCTCATTTTTAAAAATTAAGGTTTAATGATGCCTTCAGCCAAAATGTGCTCCAAACAGTGACATATTGTGGATGTATTTGTTTTTTTATGTTGGTTCTCTGAACCCTAAACACAACAATATTGACATTTGACGAAGCCATCAAGTTGAAAATGTTCTTATTTGTTTAGAATGATTTTGTTTAAAAAATCAGCAATGAACTTGTTGATGTTTAATAATCCGTTCAACAACTTTGCTGTGCATAGTATTAGGCTTTAGTATTTTGTTATCATGGAGACGCAAATCTTTAGTGTTTTGTTTTCATGGAGATGCAAATCTTTAGTGTTTTGTTATCATGGAGATGCAAATCTTTAGTGTAAATACACTCATAGCGCTTCTTGAAATTCCACAAACTACTGAATTCATTTTCTAGGATTTTCACCAACACTCTCATGCACTGCTTAAATATTGACATTTGAATGGGTTTTTTTAGATGACCATTGTCTTTAACATCTCCAACTGATTCAGCCTCCCTGAGATTTTTGATTAATCTCTTTACTGTTGATGAAGCTAAAACTCTATTCCAACCATACTTTGTGTGAAATAAATTATTTTTAAAATATTGTTCAATGTTGAAAACATGTTGTATCATGTAAAGTTTCATTTTCACTAACCCTAACCTTTTCATTAATCCTAACCTTTTCAGTGTCACTAACCCTAACCTTTTCAGTGTCACTAACAACTTACTGCACAAATGGCAGCAAATTCAAATCTTGTGTTAAATTTGGAACATCCTTTATTTATATACGTTATTTATTGTTTATATTTGTTGTATTTATATTGTTATTTGTTCTTTATTATTATTATTATTATTATTATTATTATTATTATTATTATTGTTATTATTTAAATAAGTATTAGGAAAATTGTGTTTATGAATGCTATGGTTTTATTTGTTTGTAATATAGATCATTTAATGTAAAGATTATTTTAAAATATTATCAATAAGTTAATTTTTACAAATGTAGTATAATATAATTTACTCACAAGCATGAACAAAATGGTATTCTAACTTTTTTAGATAACATTTTTAAAATAACCAAAAATTGATCACAATAATAATCAATTGATTACAATAAGCAATTTCATTGAAGCGAATTAACAGACATGCAAATTATCAGACATGTAAATGTTTAGCATAATAAAGATAACACAATGTAACAAAAAAAAAAATTTTCTGTTTATCAAAATTTTTTGATGTTTCTTAATTAATTTGAGTATGCTGAGTCTGAATATGACATTGGATTTTTTATTGCATCAATCGTTTGGTCGTAAAACCAAAAAATCAATTAAACATATAATTAATATAAATCGTTTTGCATTAGATTCTACTTTAGTCAATATAAAATATTTACTAATTCAAAAGTGTTATGTTATGTTACAAAACTTCATGTTACATCATGTTTCTTACATATATTACATAATGTTACATTATATTGTATTGTAACAGTCTCTCACAATCTCAAAAAACACTAAAAGTGAACAGTAGAACGAGGTTTTCTTTTATGAAGTTTCTCGTCATCGCGTATCAAACACCTGATGTAGTCACCCATCATAGCTGCATCCCATCTGCCCTGGTATCTTTTCTCCATTGCAAGAATATCCTGATGGAAACGTTCCCCGTGCTCTTCACTCACATCACCCAAATTTGGTCTGAAAAATTCCAAGTGTGAATGCAGGTAATGCAGCTTTATTGACATTCTGCATTTCATATCTGCGTACCGTACAATTAAGTTTTCCACTATCTCTTTGTAGTTATCACTCTTATTGTTGCCTAAAAAGCTATGAACAACATGTCTAAATGCAGTCCATGCTTCTTTTTCAACAGCAGACATTTTGTCCTCAAGCTCCTTACATGCCAACATAACTTTAATCTGTGGACCAACAAATATACCTGCTGAAATTTTTGCATCTGACACCTTTGGAAACATCTGCCGAATATGCTGGAATGCTGCACTATCTGGGTTTAATGCTTTGACAAATTGTTTGATAAGACCAAGTTTAATGTGAAGGGGTGGTAGTAAGATCTTTTCAACAGGTATCAGAGATTGATTAATAACATTGTGCGAACCAGGCTGTAAATGTTCTCTCACTGGCCACTCACGTCTTGTGAAGTGCTGGTTTGCAGCCCTGCTATCCCATAAACAAAGAAAACACGAGTACTTTGTGTATCCTCCTTGCAGACCGAGAAGAAATGCTAGCATCTTAAAGTCTCCACATACATCCCACTTGTAACTGTCGTAGTTGATTTTCTCAAGCAACAACTTCACGTTCTTATAGTCTTCCTTTAGATGAACGGAATGAGCTACTGGAATCGAAGGAAATCGGTTTCCGTTATGGAGCAAAACTGCCTTTAGACTCCTTGTTGAGCTGTCAATGAATAATCTCCACTCTTCAGGATTGTGAACAATGCCAATGTCATTGAAAAGACCACGAACGTCATGACAATAGCACAGTGATTCTGATACTACATAAAAGTATGCGAATGTTTCATGTCTTTTTCGGTATTTCGAGGTTCTGCAGCTTGGATCTAATAAATTCCATTCTTTCAAACGTGATGTCAGAAGTTCTGCATTTGATTTAGTGAGACCTAAATCTCGTACTAAGTCATCAAGTTCTTGTTGGTTAGGGAAATGAGGTGAATCATTCGGTTCCCTGAAATCACAGTCATCATTGAGTTCATCCGGTGAGTCTACTTCAGAATGATATGCAGCTGCTTCTTCGGATTGAGGTGGAGTAGGAACAGGCAATTCATCACTGTGTGGAACTGGTCCAATAGAAGATGGTATACTTGGATAAACTAGAGTCAGCCTATCTTTCGGTTTTTTATACTTTGAAATGTCAACAATGCAGAAAAAGCAGTCATCATGATGGTTCGTCAGTTCTCTCCATATTCTCGGAATCGCAAAGGGCATTGACTTTCGGATTCCACGCAGCCATCCTTCCAGAGTTGATCTGCAGCTACCACAACTGTAGTGTGGTGCCCACGATTTGTCCTGATCTCCCATAGCCATGCCAAAATAAGCATGATATGCAGTAAAGAATTTTGTACCACTGACAATCTTATGTTTAGCTTGTGTTGGACTAATATAGTAACCACAAACATAACAGAATGAGTCAGGACAAAGCTTGCAGGATCTACTAGACATATTCACTACTTCATGTAACAGTTGTAATTAGTTAAACTGAAAATAAACACACGAATATAGTTAAAATCAGCATATATATATAATGTTTTAATTGCATTACACATATACGAAAACTCCGAAATATACTTTATGCTTTTTCTCAGGAAATCTTGATGATAGAGAAAAACCAATGGTACCACTGAAATCAGCATACAAAAATTATGTAAGAAACATTAAAAAATTAACATAAACAAAAATGTTGTTACATGGTGTAATAAAATAGTTAACATTGTTAACTATTTTATTATTGCTTCAATGAAAATGACTTCAAATAAAATTTGTTTAACAAATGACATGACTGCCATGATGGTGTTCAAAACACCATTTTACAACAATTTCAATATCTTCTTAAACTTATAAACTTATAGACTATAAAAACGTAATGAACTCAAAGTAATAAACAAACCAAATAAATACTTCAAATAGCTCTAAAGTAATTGTTCTAAAAACATTAAAATGAAATTTTTGTTTTAAAAAAACGATTTTTTTAAAGAAGATTTTATTAAAAAGTTGGCTTTTTTTTCATTAAAAATAAATCAGTATTATACCAGTATTTAACCAACTACCTAAGTTGTACTACTACCAGTATTTTACCAACTACCAGTATTTTACCAACTAAGTATTTGGTAAAATACTATTATTTTACAAACCAAGACATTATATTTTAATAACCACTACAGTTATGGTGTTTAAAAAAACATTTGCTCATTTATTTTTTCATTTAAATTAAATATAATGGAATATGATATACTTAAATATAATTAATGCTTCTGTTTAAAGTCAATAAAATATATCGCAAAATAAACAAATTAACAGTAAATAGAATATAAAAAGTATTACATCATTAACAACCAGTAGGTTCGCAAAAAAGCTCACATTTTACCGGTTTGCAGTTCGCATTTCACAGACCCAGTATTTCTCACTCTAAGATTTATTTCCTAATAAAAGCAAATCCAATATTGTTTATAAAATTACTTGTACAAAAAGTAATGTTTGTTAGATATGGCGAACATTTTAAAACTTTTCTAAATGATTAGCATATAGTGAGAGATGAGAACCACGCATTTTTCAGCATTTAAAAAATTTCAGTTGTTTAAAGACTTTAAATTTTGCTGAAAAAAAATTTGAATTAGAAATTAAAAAAAGTGAGATTAAATGGCAAAACCCTGAATTAAATAGTGAAACATTTGGTTATTAGTTTATATATATATATATATATATATATATATATATATATATATATATATATATATATATATATATATATATATATATATAATTTTAGTGGTTTTTGTTGCTAATTTAAAAATAGACATTTTTTGATTATTTTTGTAAGTATTATTGAAAAAGATTCTAAAAACTTAATATTTTATGCGCTATAAATAGATTTTCAAAAAATTTTATATACAAGGTTTTAATGTGTCTAATAAATATACATTGAAAAGTGTTTTTGTTTTCAATAGTAATATAAGGGGGCATCCATAAAGTGCGTATGAAGTAAAACCACTAGTTTTGGACCCCCTTTCTTGTGCGCACCTCTATGCTTTTAACCCCCCTCTCTTTCTTCTATGTACGTACACATTTATTACAAAATCAACCCCTCCCTTTTTCCAACACAAAAATTTTTTGAAAACAGAAAAAACTTCAGTTAATTTGTCATTATTTTCGATTTTTTAAACTCGTGAAATTCAATGCTTTTGTTAATAAAGATAAAAAAAATGCTTTAAGAGAGAGATAGAGAATGAGAGATAGTCAAACCATGTACTTGCTGTCTTAAACCCCTCCCCACATTTTTCCGATAACCTATCTTCCCACATACTTGCTACCTACTGGATGAATCTACATATACTGTACCTACTGGATGGAAGACCCCTAAGTATAATATAAATTATTATGACATATTGTTATGTTTAGTGCATTTTTAAATTATGTTATTTTTTATATTTTTATAAAGATGACAAAGAATAGCAAATGATGGATTATAATTTAAAATTAAATAATTATGAACATGACTTAGAATATGTCATTCATAGTTGGTCCTCATATTCTTCCAATTACCACCCTCGGTAAGTTTTTTGTATGATATAAGCATCCTCGGTAAGTTTTTTTTATGATATAGCATCCTCGGTAAGTTTTTTGTATGGTATAAGCATCTTCAATAAGTTTTTGTTGATTTTCTTATATGATATTAGCACTCTCATTAGTAGTAGTTCAATGATTAAATAAATATTAACAATAAAAAGATTGTGTTGTGTACTATTTTAAATTGAAAATTATTTTGTTATCTCTATTTTAAAAAAGATTGCCTTATTTTTTATTTAAAAAAAAATCTTGTGATGTAATAAAAACATAACATAAGATTGGATATAAATATCTTTAACATCCTCATATATATATATAATCTAAAGTTTTCATAATGCTTTCAACAAGTATCATGGATTTAATGAAGTAACTTTATTGAATGCAAAAAAGATGCAGCAAAAAATGTTTCTATATTTTACATATATTAGTACATGTAAAACTAAGTATAATTTTACAGCTACTATGAAATTATTAGTCAGAAGAACATTTTTAGGAGTTTTAAATAAATTTTAATAATCAATTTAGTTGAATATTGGTCAATATTTATTCATTTTATTAAGGTATGGTAACTATTAACGTTTTATTGAATTATAGGTAATCAGAAATTTTAATATGAATAATAGTTCACTTAAAAATCTAAATAACTTGAATTAAAGGAACTTAAACATAAATAACTTGAACTTTTTTTATGACACTTTTAAATATTTTTAAATATTAAAGTGTAATCTGAACATTTTTAGGAATATTAAAAATGATCACCCCTATGATCAATCATCTCGATGGTCATCAGACAGCAACTATCCTCCACAGGTTAGTCACACAATGTTTTGTTGATAACATTTATAAGCTTGTTATAACAATGTTAAAGACTTTAAAGTTTGTAAAATATAAATTTAGTACATCATATTGAAACTTGTACAACCATCCATTGTCACAGCTATCACATTTGGAAAATTTGAAAAGACACATGTTTGCAACTTAAGAAAGTTTACGATTACAGGAGGAGCAAGTCCTGATCACCAAGTTCATCTTTTAACAAGGCATAATAGTTTCATATAACTCCATCAATCAAATTAAAAAATTTTTCCTTTACTTATATTTAATACTGTATATTATGTTTAGTGGTTTAAAGAACGATAATAAGAAAGAAACATTTTCTTTAAAGCATGAACTTCAAGGGAAGAAATTTGTTTGTGAATACATTAAAATTGGTAAGTTTTACTTTGTAATGCAGTAATAACAATTTAAAAGTGTCATATTGTTATAACTTACTTTGTAATGTAATAATAACAATTTAAAAGTGTCATATTGTTATAACTTCTTTTGTAATTTAATAATAACAATTTAAAAGTGTCAAATTGTTATAACTTATTTTGTAAAATAATAATAACTATTTAAAAGTGTCATATTGTTATAACTTACTTTGTAATGTAATAATAACAATTTAAGTGTCTTATTGTTATAACTTACTTTGTAATGTAATAATAACAATTTAAGTGTCATATTGTTATAACTTATTTTGTAAAGTAATAATAACAATTTAAAAGTTTCATATTGTTATAACTTACTTTGTAATGTAATAATAACAATTTAAAAGTTTCCTATTGTTATAACTTACTTTGTAATGTAATAATAACAATTTAAGTGTCATATTGTTATAACTTATTTTGTAATGTAATAAAAACAATTTAAAAGTTTCATATTGTTATAACTTACTTTGTAATGTAATAATAACAATTTAAAAGTTTCCTATTGTTATAACTTACTTTGTAATGTAATAATAACAATTTAAGTGTCATATTGTTATAACTTATTTTGTAATGTAATAATAACAATTTAAAAGTTTCATTGTTATAACTTAATTATATTTTAATTTTTCTGGCTTGATCATTTTTATAAAGTGATCTTTGATTGCAAGTATTTTTGTGATGCTAATTTCTAAATCAAATTTGATATAGTTAAATCCAACAAGTAATTTTTAAATTAAATTTTAGTACCTGTTGCTTCATGGGGTCCCAGTTTTAATTTTAGTATATGGCACATAAAGCTATTTGGAATTGATGATGCTAAAATTGTTCAACCCTGTTTGAAGTGGTTCAACAATGTAGGTTGTCTATTTTATTTGTTTATTTATTTTTTTAAACAATGTTGTTTTTTTTTAATAAATTTTATAGTATAGAGAACAAGAAGCCATACGTCTTTGTTTAAAATATTTTCGGCAGAAGAATTACACTGAAGCATTTAATGCTTTGAAAAATGAAACAAATGTGTTTTTGGAAAGTCCACTTCTCACAAGCTTACATACTAGTTTGGTATATTTTACCATTTTTAAGTTTATAGATTTATTTCATAAAAGTTTTTAAATTAAAAAAAAGTTGGTTGTATGATAAATATTCATTTTTTTAAGGTTAAGAATGGAAACTTTGAGGAAGCGGAACATATAATACAAAATTCAGGTATTATTAAATTGTTTTAATTTTTTTTTTTTTTTTTTTTTGTATGTGTTATCTTTATTTTTTAATCTTATTTTTTGCTTTCACTTTTAAGCTCATTTGTTCAATGAATATATTAGTACACAATCTTATCAACCAAAATGGACTGCACTCAAATCTCTTAACAGAGGTTGACTTTTTAAATTTTTCTTAAATATTACTAAAGTTTGTTACTTAGTTTTTTGAAATGAAAGTTCCTGGAATTTATTTTTTATAATAATTTTTTTTTTTTTTTTTGATATTAAAACTTTTTAGTAAAGTTATAAACAATTTTTGTTTAGCTTTCTCTGATATTGCATTCTTTTATATCAATCTATATGTTATATTGTATTCTTTCATATTAATCTATATGTTATATTGCATTCTTTTATATCATTATATATTATATTGGGTTCTTTTATACCATTCTATATAAATAAATACATGGGTTTACCCACAGCTACTGTGTTTTGCCCAAATAAAGGGTAAGCTGGCAAAACACTTGCTCAGCTGTGCAATAAATTATTATATTACTTTATAATTTTTAATATTCTAGAGTTTTCTGGTGGAATAGTTCGCTATTCATCATTAAATATGATTTTAGTTTTTTCTTATAAATAGATGTGAATGTATATAAATATATTTTTTAATGCATTTTTTCAAATCCATTGTTATATTGCATTGTTTCAACAAAGTGTTTAGTTTTTAAAAAATAAATTTTCTTTATATTTTATATTCATTTTAAGTTTCATATCTGCTTAAATAGTCAACCGTGTTTTTTTAAGATAGGTAGTTCAAGAAATGTTTGTCCTGTGTTCAATGTGTAAACTCATGTGTAAACTTATCTTATTTTTGTTCATAAACATTTATTTTTTGCCTACAAACAACTTTTCTATTATTCAAAAAATATATATTTGAATATGTACTTTAGTAATCCATTAAAGCTTTCAAAAAATTTAAAAATTATTTTGTATACTTTTAAACAATTATTGTAATAGACAATGTTGTTAAAACCTTTACCAATGTCAAACATGTTTTGCTATCTGAAATGGGTAGCTTATCTAAATTTTAGATCATGCATCTTTTAATAAGATCCTTATCAAATGTTTTTTATGCAGGAGCTTTGCTTGTAAAGGTCTGTGTTTCAGAGTTGGGTTAAGAAAGAATGTAACCATAGTTTTTTAAAGAAAAAAGGTATTTTTTTGACTCAAGTAGCCTTCCTCTGTAGCTTGAGAATGTGAATAAAAATGATCTACATTGTTTTATCAGTGTTTCATAAGGTTTTTTTTATTTTGTTTTTCTTAATTTTACTTTAATGTTGAGTTTTGAAGGGTTTCAGTCTAAAATCTTATTTAACAGTTAGCATTGCATTAATAAATATAGTTAAAAATTAAAAATCTTTGCTTATTTGGGTTTTGATTTATTGTTATTTGGTTTTTGATTCATTGATAATTGTTTGCTGTTACAATGTTTTGAAGTATTTTACAATTGGTATGTTTTTATATTATTACATAATTAGTGTGTTATTTTACTCTTTATTAGTACTTTGCAAACTTTCTACTGATTATCTCTTCTTTTTAATATTTTAAAATTCTATTAGAATGTATGAGTTGTTAAAACTTCTTCACCATCTTAAACATTTCTAACAGATCATCTTTTTTTGTCTGCTTTAAAGAGTTTGTATATTTAGCTTTTTATTTCTGTCTCTTGTTTGCTGATAATTTTTCAAAAATGATAAAATTGAAGTAAATTGAAGTTGAACACTTAATTGTACTCTTCATTTATAAAAAAAAAATTTTTTTTTATAAAAGTACAATTAAGATAGGTTTTAATAATTAGTCTTTCAAAAGGGAATTTTTTAAGTAAATTAGTGGCTTGATGATTCAAGCAAGAAAACAACATTAAAAAAAAATTGTAAAAAAAAAAACAAAAAATTTTTCGTATAAATTTATTTCATAGGTAGGTACTGCTTGTTCATAAGAATGGACCCTGCCTATTCCTATTTAAGTATTGTTTTATTTGTGGCAAAATATGTGTATGTGCCTCTATATATATATATATATATATATATATATATATATATATATATATATATATATATATATATATATATATATATATATATATATATATATATATATATATATATATATATATATATATATATATATATATATATATATATATATATATATATATATATGTGTGTATATATATATATATATATATATATATATATATATATATATATATATATATATATATATACACACACACACACAGATACAAGAACACACATATATATTTTAATTCATTTTATTTGAAACTTGCTCCCAACCCATTATATATGCATAATTTTGTTTTTAAGTTTCAATTCGTTCAATTTTTAATTTTGTTTTAAAATGTTTTTTTAGATGGAGTTGAAGTTTGTGAACAGCCTGGAATGAGAGGCGGACATCAAATGTGTATTGATGAAGAAAAGCAACTCATATTTTTAATTGGAGGTTGGGATGGTACGAAAGATATTTCTGATTTTTGGGTTTATAATATCAACAGCAGTCATTGGCATTGTATCTCTGAAAATATTGAAATGGATGTAAGAATAGTTTTAAACATTTTATAAAATGTTGTAAAAATATTTTTTCTCAAAAAAATATCCTTAAATCAACAATTCAATTTTTAAGCATCATTTTTAAATGATTTGAAAATTTGTTGGTTTTATTGTTGTTGAGGTTTTTTTTCAAAACATTCATTTTTAGATTCTTTAATTTATTCAAATTCAGTTGAAGTGGTTAACTATAAAATGTAATTTTAATAATTTCTTTTAAAAATCATAGTCATATAACAAATATCATAATTATGTAATCAGTTGAAGAGCTATTAACTTTAAAATTTTGTAACGTTATGTCTTTTATAAATCATAATTATGTATAATTATTATGGTTATGTTGAAAAACACAAATGATTTTTATATAAGGTTATAGTATATTTAATGACAAGTCATTTAATATAGTATAACCTACAATATATAGAAAAGTATTTTTATTTATTCTAAAAGACATAGCTTAAAAATATTTCTGTTTTATGTGTATTTTTTTTTTTTTTTTTTTTTTTTTTTTTTGTTAATTCACCTCCTCAAGGCTGAGAAGGCCACTACAGTCGAGGATGCTACTTATTTGTGGTTATATATAGTTGGGGAGGCTATTTATTTGTGGTATATATATATATATATATATATATATATATATATATATATATATATATATATATATATATATATATATATAAATGCTTATATATATAAAATGCTATAAATGCTTATGAAAAGAAGTGTAGTAAAGTGAATATGCTAGAAAGTTACTTTTTTTTTTTTTAAATTAAAAGTAATTATAAAAATGGGAGTGAATATTCTAATGCTTATTAGCATTTTGATTAAAAACGGGTTTTGTTGATTTCAGGTGTTGAAAGTTGACCTTTCAAGTTTTTCCAGGAAATGTGTGCGCCTGTACATGCATATCTTTGCACACAACCTAAAGTTGTTTTATGTTTTACAACTTTAAACTGCATAACATAAACTATATATGATTAACTAAAACATTAAAGGGATCCCTAAGTGCTATAAAGATATGATCTCATATGAAAGAGCATAAAAAAAAAATGTTTGGTGTATGTTATTTTTTCTAAAACGTAATAATGAACACACACTAGCAAATTTGATTTTCAAAAAAACGCTTTTCTTCGATTAAAAAAAATGCGTCATGTCCAAAGTTTATTGACTCTACTGCCTCAAAAAACTAACGTTTGTACGTCAAATTAAACGAAGTAGACAAAATGTCATTATTGCAAACTTATTAGTTGGTAATTAAATTTAAAAGTAAAGTCGTTTTTTTTCAACTAACACATAATTACTTACAAGAATAAGTTTTGTAGCATTTTGTGAAAATATATTTGTATATTAAAATTTTTTTTATAATTTTAATTTATATATTTGTGTTATAAGGGCAATTCCACGGCTAAAAATGAATAGAAGTCAAATTTTAAACTCTTTTTAGTCAGTTAAAAACAAATGAATATTGAATATAGACACATGAAAGTTTATTTAAAACATTTCTTTAGTATAAAAAATAAATTTACTTCAGTAATTTTTATGGTTTCAAAAGTGACGGTTACTCTCATTTTTGCTTAATAAAAAAAACATTTTGTTAGAAATTAAACTAAGACAGGGCTCGAATTAACTAAACAATCTAATCGCGAAAAATTTTTTTTTTTTGCTCTCTTCCCCTTTCTCTTATAGCTCGCGTCGATGTGCGGTAATGGGGGGGAAAAAATTATCGTCAATAAATCAAAAAACATCGTCAAAAACTGAATAAAAAATTAGATACCACGTTTTTTAAATTTTATTGTTTCTCGAATAAAGGACTAATAAAAGTTTAAATATAATTAAGTTTTTCATTTAAATGGTTGATGTTTTTATTCAATTTTTCTATTTCAAGTTTTCCAATAAAAGACGAAACAAAAAAATTTGGTTTAATAAATCGAATTTACTTCATGTTTAAAGTAAGGCTTAAAAACGTTAAAGTAAAAATATTGCTGGTTTTTATTAGCATTTTTATACTGTTTGAAAAAAAAACTAATAAAAAAGAATTAACTAATAATATATTAATTAATAATTATTAGAATTAACAATAATAACAATTAATTCTTTTTTATTAGTTTTTTTTTTCAAAGAGTATAAAAATGCAAATAAAAGTCAGTAATTTTTTTGCTCTAACATTTTTAAGCCTTATTTTAAACATGAAGTTTTGATCAACAAAGATTAAAAGCAATTTTTCAACTTTTCGCTTTAACAACCTTGTAAAAATTTTCCACGCAGAGATTAAAAGTAATTTAAATTGAAAAATGTTTTACGTTGAAAGAAAATCTCCGCGCAAAAGAGCAAATCATCTATTCATCTATCTATTCAGAATAATAAATTTTGTGTGACGTTCTTTATGATAAAAATAGTGATGTGCCGGGTACCCGGTTTGGACCCGGGGACCCGGCAATTCGGCTGTTTTACTGGGTACCCGGTATCGGCCATTTTGTTGCAGTACCCGGCACCGGGTATCTTCAAATTGATTTTTCCTTTTGTTTAAACTTTAACCATTAAACTTCTTGATATAAGTCTAAGAGTGTTATGTAGTCGATAACCACAAAGTTCTATTAACTTAAAACAATCTCACTTAAAATATTTTTTAATACATTTCTGCAAAAAAATTTATACGGATACAAAAACTGTAACGCTAAATGAAATAATTCGAGAATACGAATAAAAAAATTGGGAAAAAAAGTTTTAAAATAGCTTCTTTTTATTCTGTTAGAACACAAGATAATTTTGCCAAGTTTTTATTCCAACTTTTAAAAAATGGACTCGGTGCCGAGTACCCGGACTCGGACCCGGTTTTTTCAGCCGGGATAAACTGGTTCCGGCACATCTCTAGATAAAAACATTACTTTTAAGAATTGCTAAAAAAAATGCTAAGCTAGAAAAAAAGTAATTAATCAACCAAAAAAAAACAAGTCGAAAAAAGATTTTTTTTAAGAAAAAACTAATCACAAAAGTGTATGTAGCAATCGCGCTTAATACGAGCCCTGTAAGACTTTCTTATAAGTTCTAAACTATTTAAAACTATTACTTAATAACTTTTTTTTAACGACGTCTTTCAACCGAATGCTATTTAATCACAACTTTTTTTTACTTGAAAATCGAAGTAGATATTTTAAAGTTGTTGTGACGTACTAACGTGATTGTTAACGACTAACAATCGAGTTTCAATGGTGAAAAAATAAAATCAAAATGGAGTTATTTTTTAGTGATTTTGGCAATTGCTTTTTGTTAGCATGCATTTATTATTACAATTTAGCGAAAAAGAAAAAAAAACTTACATTTTTTTTTTTAATGCTCTTTCATATGAGATCATATGTTAGGAGCACTTAGGGATCCCTTTAACTTAGATTAACTAAAACAGAAACTTTAGTTAATTAAAACAGAAACTTTAGTTAATTAATACAGAAACTTTATATATATATATATATATATATATATATATATATATATATATATATATATATATATATATATATATATATATATATATATATATATATATATATTTATTTATTTATTAGCATACCTTAAAATGAATATTGCCTTATAACAGCAGCTTTTTAAATTTATTTATAACAAATAACTTTAGAAACCTGTTATTAATTTTTGAAAAAATTACAGAGCTTGTATTTTATTACTAGAGCTTATAAATGTGTCCAGTTGATCAGTTGGCTCACATAATATGATACAGATTATAATACTTTTTTTTTCCATTTTTTCAATTTTGTTGCTGATTTAATTAAGAATGTTGGGGGAGGATGAAATTTGATGTATTGTCTCTAAGCTACCATAGCTTAGAGGCATGTTTGCTGCTCAGAATATAAAGTAATTTTACATATCAAATGTTTTATAATTCATAATCATCATAAATTGTAATTTCTCATCAAAATCTCAATAATACTTAAACACATCTTAAGAAGTATTAAGTGAAGTAAATTAAATTTTTTTAAAGAAGTTTAATTTAGTACTTCACTTAATAAATATGTTTTCTCTTCTTATATAGAAGCTAATATATGATGTCTTATATAGAAGTTCTTATATAGAAGCTAATATATGATAAATTTGTAGTTTAGATTGCTAAAATTTATACCAGTATAATTCGCTTTTGAAAACCTAAAATTGGTACAGGCAATGTACTTTTTCTTATTTATAGTGGTATTAGGAAATAGTTAGTCAATAAGCCAAGGGGGTTTCATATTAATTTCATATTAAAAATACACAAAACTGGAGAATAGGATAGAAAAGCATTTATAGTTTTTTTTATTATTTACTTCTATTTGCTGGTGACAAAAGTATATACTCCAGACATAACAAAAAGTCATTATATATCATTCATGGCAGTTTTTAAAGCAGGGGAAAGAGCAAATGGCTGGGAGCTAAATAATCTATTAAAAACAATGTGGCAATTTCTACATGACTCTCCTAGTAGAAGAGCAATCTATGAAAGCATCACTGGGGCACTTGATTATCCGATGCAGTTTTGTTAGCATAGGTGCTCAAAAGGCTGAATCATTACTTGATGGATACAAAAATAATATGTTTCAGTAGTCCCAACAAGACATACTTTTGAAAAAAAGTATGTCTTGGGGGACCCCTAAAAATATTTTTTATTGAAAAAATTTTAAATCCAGTGTTATTTTATCATATAGTACACATTAAGGGGTCGGAAGCATAGATTTTTCAAATGTTGTTATTTGGGACACCCTAATAAACATACATTTAAATATGGTAAATAGTTATATTTTTCAAATATACTATGACAAAAAAATAATCAATCAAATTTATAAAAAAAAAATCAAAATAATCCATTAAATATATATATAAAAATCAATGTAAAATTAAAATATACATACAGATTAAGAAGTTTCAATTTATTATTTTTTCTATTTTCTAATCTATTAAAAAAATTTTTTAATATTTTAACATAGTTCAAAGAATGACTTATCTTTTTTGATTGGTTTGACCAACCTAAAATAAATGTGTTACTCTTTGTCCATCAGAAATTAAAAATAAAAATCTAATTTAAAAGTTAATAAATCTTACAATTTGCAATTGGATGTCATTCCCGACAAAGGAAAGCATTAGCTGCAATCCATTGCCATTTAAATAAATAAATAATGAATAAATAAATAATGAATAAATGATTGATGAGGTAGTTAAACATTAATTTATTTGAATATATAGACAAATTTGTCATAGTTGCATGAATGAAAGTACAAAGCATTATTGATATTAAAAAATTATGCTTGATGACATCATTACTCAGTGTAAATTGCTATTTTGTATTGCAGTGTATTGCTGTGTAATACACTGCAATACAAAATTGAATGCATACATAAGCTTAAAGTAATGTTTTATATTAGTTTAAGATACTATATTATATTTAAAAACACTATAGAATACTGTAATTTAGATATATATTTTTTGATTTTGTATTGTCATATTGGTTTTCAACATTTCATATATTTTTCTAATGTTTTGTTTGTCTTGATTTTTTAATAAAATAGTATTTCATATATTTTATTTTACTACAACTGTCAAAATATTACTCTATAAACAATTGTAAAGAATTTTTACTTTAAGTAAATTTGAAAAAAAACTTTTTATTAATTTGTAGTAAGCCTTGCATCTTTTTTATTTTTTATTTTTTATTCTTTTATATTACTTGTAATTAGATAACTTACTTGTAATGCTTGTTACATAAGACAACTTACTTGTAATGCTTGTTACATAAGATAACTTACTTGTAATGCTTGTTACATAAGATAACTTACTTGTAATGCTTGTTTGATAATATAATTTTAATTTTAAAATTCTTGGATTTTAAATTAATTTTATAAATGTTATTTATAGGGAGGTCCTGCTGCAAGGTCATGTCATAAAATCTGTCTTGATACAAAAAAGAGACATCTTTATATATTGGGGCGTTATCTTGATGCAGAAGAAAGGCTAAATCTGGATATTAAGGTTTGCTTTATAACTTTTCTGATTTTGTTTTTTTAATTTTATTATAAAAGTGTTTTAGCTTCTTTCTTTTTTTTAGAGTGACTTCTTTAGATATGGGCTTGATACAGGTCTATGGGAAATTGTATCATCTGATACATATTCTGAAGGAGGGCCCAGTCTTATTTTTGACCATCAAGTTAGTAATATATTATTTTCAATTTTACTATTTGCTACAATTAGATTTTTTTATTATATATACAGTATCGGACAAAACAAGTGCAACCAAATAAAGCTAATTTAGTTTCTTTATATAAAAGTGCTGCATTTTTACAATTTAGAGAAATAACTATGTAAGTGTTTAGGGACAACGTTCTTCAAGTTTTATTCATCACAATGTTCATTATTTGTACACGAAAATTAATAAATTAATCAAAAGTATTAAAAAAAGTTGATTTCCTTCTGGACAAAACAAATGCAACTCCACAAAATGTTGACCAAGCTGTATTTTGCTATCAATATTTCGTGGCAAATCCTTTGTTGTTGATCACAGCCTTGCATCTTCGAGGCATAGATTCGATCAGGTGATCAATGAAACTTTGTGGAATCGCTGCCCAGGCCTTTTGGATTCAAACAATTGTTCAGACAATTGATCCTTATTACAAATACCTTCACGATTAATTCTACGGTTGACGATCTCCCACAGGTTCTCGATAGGGTTGAGATCCGGAGATTGAAGCAGCCAATCCATCACCAATAGGTGGTTATCTTGAAACCACTGCTTGACTACTTTTGCAGTGTGTTTCGGATCATTGTCTTGCTGAAAAACCCATTTTATTGGTATATTCCATTTAGCATGAGGTAATATAACATCTTTCAGGATATTTTTATACATAAAACGGTCCATTATTCCATCGATTCGATGTATTGGACCTAGATCGTTAGCAGAAAAACACACCCAGACCATTACATTGCCTCCTCCATGCTTCACGGTCTTATGGCAGTAATGTAAATTGAGGCGTTTTCCGGCCAGTCGACGTACACAGCAAATGCCATCGCTCCCAATATGTTGAACTTTGATTCATCACTGAACAGGACAGCTCGTCATTTCTGCACATTCCAGTCAATATGAGATGTAGCAAACAAGAGTCTTTTCTTCTGGTTCTTTAGTGGAATCAGCGGTTCTTTGCAGGGCGTCGAGAAAACAATCTGGCTTCAACAGCACGTCGTCTGATTGTTCGGTCCGATACAGGCAGCTCTAATTGCTTTTGTAATGTATTGATGTAATGAAACACTTGTTGTATTTCACTTCTTGTATTGATGTTCTTCAATAAAACACTTTGATAAAACTCTCTTCAATAAACTGTCTTGATAATACTGACTGATTGACTTATACTGACTGAATTACATGTCGGAAACTTCTGCATGCTTCTGGATACTTCCTTTATTTATTTAAAAACTTCGGTGATGTTGACACAGACCAGACTTAAGAAAATGAAACAAACCAAAAAAGTTGCACTAGTTTTGTCCGCTGCAAAATGGCACATGTTCTGCCTGTGTGTTGTCAAAATTCTGCCTGTGTGTTGTCACCTGTCAACTGATTGCTCATGTCATGGCATGCTATGACTCCAGACTCCTGAACTGTTTGCTGTGGTAGTATAGTTCATTTCGTTTTTAAGACATGTAAAATTAGGAACACTTTTTAGCATTGTTCGCTGTTGGTTGCAAATGTTTTGTCCAATACTGTATGTATATATATATATATATATATATATATATATATATATATATATATATATATATATATATATATATATATATATATATATATATATATATATATATATATATATATATATATATATAATATAGGCTATAAATATTTATTGCATTTTGATAAATTAATAATGATAATATAAAACATTTTTTTGATAAAATTGAAACAATTTATTAGCATAAATTATTATAAAGTAAAAAAAAGTTTTAAGCACTGTATATAATGTATAATAAAAGCAGCATGTGTTTGTCAGATTGATTTGGTATCATTCTTGGAAGTAACAGGGTTAAATATTACATATATAATCCTAACCCTCTATAAGTACTCTTAAATAGTTCAAACATTTGTACTGACATATTAATTTTTTTAAAATAATACTCTTTAATTGATATTCAGATGCAGTACGATGGTGTGACAGAGAAAATATTTGTATTTGGAGGGAGGATTCTTACAACGTACTCATTTATTCTTGTTAGTTTTATAATGTTTTATTAATGTAACTAAATTTTAACTTGTTGACATGTTTTCAAATAATCATTTCTTTAAAGGATAATTAACGATGATCAATCATCAGAACCTCTGTTCAGTGGTCTATTTTCTTTCTGCACAAAAACTTATAAATGGGAAAAATTGAAGTAAGTTAAATTGTCTTAGCATAAGTTAATAATGGTGCCTAGAAAATTTGGTTCATAAAAATATTATGGTATTTTTATTTATGTTTAAACAAACATTTTACTATAAAAAAAAAATCTTTTTTATTTTTATAAAAAATTTTTTTAATTCAAACAAAATATTGGTGCTTTTAAAAAAGGTCCCTACTACCTTTTTTTCCTTAATAGTAAAATATTTATAAAAAAAATTTTAAGGGATGATTGCTTAAACACACCCTCTAATGATCAAATACTTTCCAGAAGTGGTCATTCTATGCTCATTGATCAGGTTTGTACTGTCTTTGCTTTTGTTATGTTTTTTATCATTTTAATGAATTTGTTAATTATTGGCAGAATTATTTTTTGCACAAATTTTTATTATTTATATATATATATATATATATATATATATATATATATATATATATATATATATATATATATATATATATATATATATATATAATAAAAAATTTATTGTTATATTTGTCAAATTGTTTTACCAAATTACAAGTAATGTTTTATATTTTTTTGAAAAATATTGATTTTTTACTATGCTCAAAAATGTTTTTAAAAAATTTTTGTTTACACAATATTATAAATAAACTTTAATAAGCAATCTAAATACAAACTTATACATAAAAATTTATACATACACTTTTACATATTAACAATATTAAACCATATATTATTGTTACATCTGTTAATTAAACAACAGTGAACATATATACAAAGCAATTAACACAATTAACAAAAAATGCTACACATACAAAACAGCTAACTCAATTGACAAAAAAAAACTGAAAAAAAAATGTATTTAGTTTTATTCACACACAAAAATAGATGACACCTAAACAATGTGGTAATTTGATGACACCTAAAAAATGCGGTAGTGGTGTAGTGGTAGAGCGCTCGCTTCATAAACGAGTGGTTCCGAGTTCGATCCCCACCACATCCCTGGTAGTACCGCGCTCAACTCGTTTCTCTGCGCAGCGGCCTTGTTCGTCAAGGTTCGTGTTTCGGAGTTATAGAGTTGAGAGAGGGTTATAGCCACAAAATAAGTAGCCTCCTCGTCTGTAGTGGCCTTCTAGACCTTGAGGAGGTGAAGTAAAATAAAATAAAAAAAAAAAAAAAATTTAATAATTTTAAAAAATTTACTTTTTCTTGCAATAACATTAATACTTGTGGAAATCTTTATTTATTTTATCAATTTTCATTTTCTAACATTTTTTTTTTTTTTTTTTTTTTTAAATACTACACCTTAAACAAAGGAAAAACAATTACTTGCAAAATATGTGGAAATACACTCATTATTTTTGTTTAATACACCAGAGACTCTCCCTCTAACAAGTCTTTGGTTTGTGCGATCCTTTTTACGGCTGTCAGTTTATTTATGATGAAAATTCGACCCAAAATGAATGATGATTTACTCGATACATTTTATTTCCTCAAAGCTTATTTCTTATCAAAAAATCTCTTAACTAAACTTATTGTGTTTTATTTACTTATTATTGCTGCATTTAAAGAGCTCTTTTATATATAAACATGTGCATACAATACAATGAATGCAGATTTTTATATAAAACAATGCACAGGTTTATTTATAGGTTTCTTTACCAAGTTTGCATATTGCTCTTGGTGTCTAATTGTATAAATTTTTTAACATGTTCAAAGAAGAAGCATATGAGGTGGATGATGTCTCATATGAGTTGGATGATGGCAGCCTCATATGAGGTGGATATTATGATGGCAGCCTCATATGATTTTAATGATTTTTTAATGATTCAGCCAATATGATTTTTTATGATTTCTAATTTTTTTTACCAATATTTACAAGTAAATTTCTCATTTTTTTTATTACTGTTTTACCAGTAAATTTAGTATTTTTTTATTACTGTTTTACCAGTAAATTTAGTATTTTTTTTATTACTGTTTTACTAGTAAATTTAGTAATTTTTTTATGAACGGGTAACAAATTTTACAAAACGCAAAACAATTATAAATATATTGTCTGTAGTTCTCTGAGCTTCTTTGAGTTTATTAATTAGTACTTTTAATGTTTAATGTTTTTTTTTTTGACCAAAGATTGTTTTTTTGTTGCTGCACACTTTTGTGCACCAACTAAATAAAGTTCTGCACATAGACCATATAAAGTCAATACGAATAATGTGCACTGCACATAGACTGTTATAGCCGTAACAGTCCGTTAACAGGATGTAACTACTTTGTTAATGGAGTGTACGCATCGATTATGTAAGATTTTACAATCGATTATGTAAGGTTTTACGCATCAATTATGTAAGGTTTTACAATCAGCATGTAGATACATCAACTGAGGGTTTTGTTTAGGTCAGATACTCTTTTAATTAAAAGAAAGTCTTCTCTAGATTTAAAACTTAAAAAAAAAAAATGTTGCATCACAAAATCGAAACCCCCCTCCCTCCCCCTCGTAACAAATTGTCACAAAATCGTCTACCCTTCCCCTCCCCCTATAGCATGACGTAATTACTGTTTTACAAGTAAATTCAGTTTTTTTTATTACTGTTTTACTAATAATTTTAGTTTTTTTTAATTACTTTTTTACCAGTAAATTTAGTATTTTTTTATTACTGTTTTACCAGTAAATTTAGTATTTTTTTTTTATTACTGTTTTACCAGTAAATTTAGTATTTTTTTTTTATTACTGTTTTACCAGTAAATTTAGTATTTTTTTACTACTGTTTTACCAGTAAATTTATTTTTTTCTTTTACTACTGTTTTATCAGTAAAAGTCTGTAAATGCTTAACCTTGCACTAAATTTTATTTGTTTGGAAAATGCTGTAATGAATGTTGTTGTGTTTTTGTTGTTGCTGTTGTTATTTTTTATTTCTATTTGCTCGGTTAGACATTTTAGATTTTTTAATTAAGTCTATTTTTTGTTGATAATCTTGTACTGTTCTCTTTTTTTATAATTTTTGTCTGCTTCTATTGCTTCTTCTTTCTTCTGCTTCTATTGAACTTTGTTGACTTGACTACCTTGTAAGCTGCAAGATGGGTTAATGAAAATCAAAATAGTTCATAAAGTTACTTTTAACATTAATTTAATTTTAATAAATAGTTAAAACCAATATTAAAAATAACTTTTGACATAAAAAAATGAAGTATACATAAAAATTTTTATTTGTGTTTTAAATATTATTTTAGGAAAGAAGGTTGTTGTACATATTTGCTGGTCAGAGGGGCAGAAACAGAGAAAGTGTAAAGTAAGTCTTTTTTTGTCTTTATTAATTTATTTATTATTTGATTTAAATATTATTGATGTTTTTTAGTAATTTTCTTTCATACAATATTGTTATTGGTTTTTAGTGATTTTTTTTCATACAATATTGATACTGGTGAAATTACGATATTAGTTGCGCTAGCAGAAAATAAATTATGTAAGTTTTAAAAAATGTTTAATGTCATTTGACATTAAATATACCATAAGATTAACATTGATTTTTTTTTGTTGATAATTATCTACATTTACAGTTTAATGCTGAGCCATTAGATTTTTTTTTAATAATAAATTAAATATCTACAAATTTTAATGTTTTATTTAGCATCGTCAATTGGTTTCACTCAGCGCTCTAATATTGATTCAAAATTGGGTGAAATTTATGTTTTGTCGGTAAAATGTTAAATATATCACTTAGGAGGTTTGACTTAAAACATTTAATTTAATTTTTTTTTTCCTTTTATAAGGGATCAAATCGTGAAGCAGAAAACAAAGAAGATTGTATTCGTAACTCGTTTTGGGTTTATAACATAGCCCTAAAGAAATGGTTTATAAATATGTTATTTATTTATATATATGTTTTTCTAAATAATATCTTTTTGTTTTGATTTCTTTACTTCATCAAATTTCTTTTAGGACATGTGTTTACAAAAATGAAAACATTGATAAATTGTATTGGAAGAAAATGACAAATATTGAACCACGTCCACGATTTGCACATCAACTAGTTTATGATTCTATAAACAAGGTTATTTAATAAATAAAATAATTAGATATTAAATAAATAAAAATGTACAAAAAAAATTATTATCCAAATAATAGTAAATAAAAAAAAGTGCAGGGGTTATTCTAGGAAAATAATTTGGGCAACAGTAGCATGTCAACACCTGTCATAAGGAAATTTGACAGAAACATTGCCGTATGTAGGCAATCCTTCCCCGGAAGCATGTCGCATGCCTTCTTGGTCCACATTTAAAGTAACTTTTTAGACTGGACCACATTTTTATTTTTAGGAAGCATTTTAAGAATTTGCAGCAAAAAAACATATAAGAAACTACAGAGAATAAAACAGCAATACTCAAAGAAAGGATACAAATACTATACAAAATAGATTAGATAAACAAAAAAAAATTAAAATAAAGAAAAATTTGTCCAAAAAAAATATACCTCAATATTTTACTGTTTTGTCTTTTTTTTTTTTTTTTTTTTTTTTTTTTTTTTTTTTTTTTTTTGACGTTTGTTATTTTCCACTGCCAAAATTAATACAAGTCGAGAAAGAAAGTAGATAAGATTATAATGAAAAGAAAAACATTTTTGGATATAAAATTTACTTGCAACTTTTGTCAGTCAGTATGTTAAGGAAGTAAATTTTTATTTGCGCCATAAATAAGGATAATTTTAAAATTTGTTTTTTAAATGTTTTTACAAAACTTTACTGTATTTGTCAATGTCCAGGAAAGCAAGAAAACTAATTGCTATTTGTAAAAAAAAAAATTTTGATTTTTTATCAAGTTTTTTATGTAAAATAATAAAAAAGTCATTAATACTAATGTTCAAATATAAATTATTTGGTTGTTTTCACTACCCCTATTGAAATAGTCTGCACTTTTGTTGGATTCTCTAAATTGTGCGTTTAAACCCGATAGTTTATTTCTTAATGAACTTTTGTTATTGACGCTCCAAAACTTGCAGTGTTATATTACTGAACTTTTGTTATTGACGCTCCAAAACTTGCATTGTTATATTACTGAACTTTTGTTATTGACGCTCCAAAACTTGCGTTGTTATATTACTGAACTTTTGTTATTGACGCTCCAAAACTTGCATTGTTATATTACTGAACTTTTGTTATTGACGCTCCAAAACTTGCATTGTTATATTACTGAACTTTTGTTATTGACGCTCCAAAACTTGCATTGTTATATTACTGAACTTTTGTTATTGACGCTCCAAAACTTGCATTGTTATATTACTGAACTTTTGTTATTGACGCTCCAAAACTTGCATTGTTATATGACTGAACTTTTGTTATTGACGCTCCAAAACTTGCATTGTTATATTACTAAACTTTTTTAAAACTTTTAGGAGCCTAATTAAAATATTTTTTAAGTTTTTAAATTTTTTCAAACAGAGCAATCATTATGTTTATTATCTCTAGTAATTCATCTCAACATTGAAATTGGGCGTGTAAAGGAAACAATTTAAGACAAGCATTAATTATTGTAAATACATTTAAAAAAGAAACCATGTTATTCTTTTATTAAATTTCTTCAGTCATTACATAATTTATTAATCAAATAGTATATTTTACAAATAAATAGAAATTTGTTTTCTGATTTGTCTATTATTATATCTATTATATTATAAGTATTGAGAAAAAACGTCAAATAAAGCAAAAACATTTTTAAAAACTAAAAGATTTGAAAACAAACAAATGTAAGAAAAAAAATTAACAAAGTTTTTCATAGTTCTAGAGTACATAGCAAATTAGTTTTGTAAAATTTGTGAATAAATTGCATATCAAAACTTTCAATTGTTGTTATAAAGTTATAAAATTGTTGTTATAAAGTATGTTCTTTTCCTTGACTTGTATCAAAATCTGTAGATAATAATAACAACCACCCTTTAAAAAAAAAATTGTATATAAATTTTATTAAACTTTTTTTTTTTTAATTATTAAATTTTTTTTTGTTTATTTAATATTTTGTTACAATTTTGCTTCCTTTTTTTGGTATTGTTTTTTTTTTCTAGGTTTAGCTTATTGCCACAAATTATTGAAATTCTTTAAAAGTTAAAAAACTGCATGGTCAGTGTGCCTAAAAAAATTACTTTAAACATGGGTGAACAAGGCATGCGACCACACACGCTTCCCAGAAAGGTTTGGTAGGCATTATTTACATGAAAAAAACAAACAATATTTGCGATATTAAAAAAAAGTAAAATCCTCAATATCTGAATTTGGGCAACGCCCAAATACATTGTCACAAAGGGTTAATTTTGTTGTAACATGTTTCAAGTTCAAATTTGAAAATTAAAAAATTATCTTAATTATGTTAGGTTCATTTCTTATTTGGTGGAAACCCTGGGCATTCTGCTTCATTGAAACTTAGATTAGATGACTTTTGGATGCTAAAGGTATGAAGTTTTTATTTTGTGAAAGGTTATATATACTTTATCAATGTATCTGGGTATTGTTGATGGCATCTATAATTCTCTGATATTTTTTTAACTAAAGTTACTCTATATAATCAGACAGCCCTAATCAAATATTGGTCACAACCAATACATTTTGACATTCATCATCTGTATCTAAACTATGATCAATCATCAACATTGTATGAATCAAGTAAACAATCAACTTTACAACAACAAACAACTTTAAAGTTACCAAAATGAGAATTAAAAAAGGTATAGGTTATCACAGGTGATTGAGTTAACAAAATCTTTAGAAAATTAAAAAAATATATAACATTGAGAAATTTAACAAAGAAAATTATTTTATTATTGCTGCTTACAACATGAGTCAATTAAAAACTTTAATCATCAATATAAATTTTAAAATAACTGTTGTTGGCTATTTAACTGTGTTGTTGTTGGATTATAAAAAACTGTGTTGTTGTTGGCTATTTAACTAAATTAAATGGATTTTTTTCCAACTTTTTGGTAAAAAAAGTAGAAATTTTGTTAAGTAAAAAAATGTTATTAATTTAGTTATATAGAAAAATGAAATCTAATTATCTGTATCTAGTTATTCTATTGATGTATCTAGTTATTGATCTAGTTTGAATTGTAATTGTGACTACTTATCTATTTTTGGTTTTAAATAAACTAGCCTTCACTAAGATGAGCAGCTCTTACAATCTATTCATTTTTGGTTTCTTGGGTTTAGCTAATCTACCTTTTGCTAAGATGAGCAGCTTTTACAATTTTCCAAAGTAAAAAGCAAATTGTAATAGCATTTTACAAATAGAAGGTAATGCATGTGGGAGATATTTTTACTAATTCAAATAGTAATGTGTATTTCTTATTTTTTTACAATAATAGCTTGAGCGTTCAACAACTGAAGATCTACTTCGTTATTGTAGATTTATTATCAGAAAGCTAAGGTATGTTTAAAGTTGTAGAATATACAAATAAATTTGTATGGAAATTTAACTATCTAGACAGTGTTTATATTTGTGTGATCTAATGGGAATTTAGATGTTATTATATAATATTTCTACTTTCAACAACATTTATTAAAAAAGTGCGATAGCAGACGGTCTAATTATTGTCAATATTTGCTTTATTAATCTTCCAGCTAATTCATTGTGTTTTAATGAATGTGAGCTTTTTTTATACAGTTACTCATCACTCAGTACTACAGTACTCTAATTAGCAAATTTCCTAAATACTAATACACCAAGGAAATATATTGTTTTGAAGTCAATCGAAAACAAATTATCTTTCATATGATAAATTATCAGGTAATTTGAGGTTTTATGTATAAAGTAATAAAAAATTAATTAACTTTTAATGTATAAAAGGTAATTAATTTTTTCAATAGTATATAGTATAATATAAAAAATTTATTTCTTTAAAAGCGACTAAAATTGAATTAGTTATGATACCATCAATGTCTGTACTCTTAAATAAATTAAACCAAATTCTTTCAAAGTACTACCATGGCCAAATAACAAAATTTTTTGTGTTAGTCATTATGTTTATTATACAAAGCAAATATGTAAAAAAAGGTAATTGGTGACATTCAGTATTTATGACTGCCTGGTTCTTACACACAACGTTTTTTATTCTATCAAAATTGTCTTTTTTTTAAAAGTTTTGGTTGTTAAAAAATATCCTTCATATCAATTGTATGAAATTAGTTACATCTTTTTAGAAAAATAAATTAGGATTACTTTAATGAGAATAGTAATGAAATAAATAAACAAACATGAAAAAATGTAAGAAATTAATTTTTAACTTTGTTTCAAAAATAAATAGTTTGATCTTAACTTTTTTTTTAATTAAAAGTCAAGAAGCTGTCATGCAATAACAAATATATAGTGACATTCTTAAGTTACTTCATTATATCTTGATAAAGTTATTTAAAGTGTTTTTGAAAAGATTGATAACATGATGAAACTTTCATAAAAAATTTTCCTTAGTTTTTCTATAATTGTAGTTATATTAATTTATATTAAAAAATAATTTTTTTATTCCTGACGATTGTAAAACCTTGTTTTGCGTTTTTATAAAAAAGACAGGTGCAGAATGTTTCATTTTAACTTCATTCAAAATTAAACATAATAGTTGTTTAAAAACATAGTACATTTTTTGAATGCTGCATAATTAATATCATAAATGGTCTATAAAAGTCTATAAAAAACCTTTACATCTTTATAACCATGTTATTGTTATATCTTATACTGCTGAGTTAGGTGAGCATGATGATGTCATACTCACCTAATGTCAAATAGCCTGCTGCCGGGGGCTTCAGTACATACATCGACTGACAAATAGCCTGACTCGCTGTGGAGTGCTGCTACATCGACTTAAGGTTTGGTATGGGTCAGCAACATTTTCATTCATTATTCTTCGTTTTCCCTCATCGTTTTCTAAAAATGTTCACTTAATTTAGGCTAGCAAAAAAAGTGAGCGATTGCGCATATAAATATGCATGTGGGAGATATTTTTACTAATTCAAATAGTAGATATATATATATATATATATATATATATATATATATATATATATATATATATATATATATATATATATATTTATATATATATATATATATATATATATATATATATATATATATATATATATATATATATATATATATATATATATATATCTGTGTGTGTGTAATTTTTTAACAATTATCCCACGATATAGCAGACATCCTTTAGACATGCCCCTGTAACCGCTTCTAAAGATTTTTTTATATTTTTCTATAGATTTATGGAGATGTCAGAAATAGATCAAATACATGCGTTTTCATACTTACAAGTGAAGTCATTTATGTTTTTGTTTTTTTTTTTAATCTTTAAAATACCAGCACGTGGTTTGTAATTTTTTTTTTTTTTTTTTTTTGCAGGAAGAAGTTTCATTAGTAATCGATCATACAAACGATTGTGAAAGAGAGATGGTATGTTTTTTTTAGGCGTTATTTGCTGTTTTTAAACCTGTTAATTGTTATCTTTTGCTCTTAATTTTTAAATTTAGTTTGAGTCACTAACTTCTGTGTTATTTTCACCAGTATTATCTTCAAGTCGCAGTAATTCAGGTAATTTAGATTTTGACAATTTTCATATTTCGATAAAAAATAATTTTATATTGCATATTGATAAAAAATGATATACATCTATAATGTAAATTCTATATTAATGCAGTAGTAAAGAAGATTTATTAAGAACATTATTATTACATATCTACAATTTGATATATTAATCTTTAGCTAACTTAATTATGCTAAATATTTGAGCGAAACTAAATCTTTTAGTTTCTTTTTAAGTTGTGTTGCTTGATTAATGTTAAAAAAAGTGATTGCTACAATAGTATCATAAAAGTCATTCAGATAATATCGACAAAGATTTAACTTATAAATATAAAAACAGGACCTAAAAAGTTCATTACCTTGCTCCGTTCAAAACATTTGTTTGATGCCTAGACATTTGCGCTTATAACTATTTCAGTTGATGTGCGTTTACATGATTGCATCAGTCAACAACTCGATAAGCGTAATTCCTATTTATTATTACGGACATTTTATTAAGTGTTGATATAAAACATTCCAGTAATCATATTTTCGATTTTATTCTATTAATGGCAATATCAAAAAAGATGTTGTTTTAATATGAAATGTCAACAGTCATTTGTTGACATGAATGTCGACACATTTTAATTCTGTTCATGTATTGCATTTTTGACGTTATTTACCACTCTGTTAAAAACATCAAATCATGTGTTTTACAAAAGCATTTTTCACTAATATTTAATTTTTAACTTTCTTGTATTTTTTATAACAAATGTTTCTTGTTGTTTTTGTTTTTTAATATTATATATTTTTTTATTATATATAATTTAAAAATGTTTCCTAACACTAATGCAAGTATTTAATGCAAGTATTTTATTGATTAATATTGATAATGGTTGCCCGTTATCAATGTTAATCAATAAAAATGTAGATTTGTTTACAATTAATTACTATTACATTAATTTATTGTATAAACATAATTTAATTAAGTTTTTTTCTATTTAAGACGGCCCTTCGGAAATATATGAAGCTAGGACCAAGGTTGAGTTAATTTTTTTAAATAGATTCTTAGCAATTGAAGTATTAATATTTTATTTATCTTAATAATAAGTTTTAACATATAAAGTTTATTTTTTTTATTTCCTGAAGTAACATTTGGTATATTTTTTTATTTCCTTGTCAGGTGTTCGATGAGTTGACTACATATTTTCCATCTCACATGACACAACCTTGTGGAACTATAACGGACTTTATCATTGTTTAAATCGAAATAGGTTTTGCTAATTGCACACACAATTAGGGGTGTGTTGAGAGGGTATTTATCGACAAAAAAAAGATAATCGGCTTCTAATATACGCCAGCTTATTAAAAAAGGTCTAAATTCGCCGATTGACTTCAAAAGTTAAACCCCTATGCACCCCCTTGTTCCAGTCATATACATATTGATTTATCTTGGTAAATATTTCATCCAAAACGACAATGAAGCATTGATAAAATTTTTCTGGAACTGGAAAAAAAAACATTTGAAAATTATTTTATATATAAAAACTTTTTAAAATTTGTACAAAATCTATTATATTGTTAACAATAATTTTCTATGTTATGATAAGTAATTATTAACTATAAATACTATTACTGCTAATTATTACAACTAAAAGTAATTGTTGCTGTTAGTTTTATTTTATATACAATGTTGTTATATATATATATATATATATATATATATATATATATATATATATATATATATATATATATATATATATATATATATATATATATATATATATATATATATATATATATATATATATATATATATATATATACACACACACAATAGTATAATATATGTGAAAAATGTACCGAACAAAATTTAACAAATTTAACTAAACTTATTTATTAAAACTTATTTTTAAAAAACTTTTTTATTAAAACGTATTTTGAAAAATCGCTTTTTACTGACGTTATTAATATTTCTCAATATTTAATGATTAAGGGAAAGAATACTTGTATCGAAATAAAAATGATCAAAAAAGAGAATTATATCGAAGTGATTAAGCCGAAAACTTAGGTAATTTGTATTGAATTGGTTAATAGCGAAATAAAAAATATCTTTAATTGAAATTCGCAATTTTGGATTTGAATTGAAATGCGGTATAAGATTTGAATCGAATTCCGGAAAAAGGGAATTGTATCGAAAAACAACTAAATAAAACAGCGTTAACATTTCTTTTGTAAAATTTAACTAGTAAAAGTGTATTCTAAATGTTTTAGTTATTTATAAAAACAATAGTTTTAAACAATTTGCATTTCTTGTTTTTAAATGATACGTGTTAAAAACTTATATAAATAAAAAGTTCATTTGTTTAACTTCAGTTTATTTCGTGAGTTTTACGCAATTGTTTTTAAAAATTTTAATTTCAAAACGAATTTTATGAATTGAAGGCGAGAAGCGAAATACAAAGTGCTTTGGTGATTTCGGTTACACTAGAGACAAAAGCTACAAAGTGCAGCTTAAGATTTTTCAGAAGCATAAGTTGTAAGAGATGAGCATATACATTTGAACAAAAACTTTACGTGGCTGTAAAGCATAATTGTAGTTCAAGATATTCTGATATGGACATTTTAGTAGCCAAAGCAATAACAAAACAGAGAGCTGAAAAAATATCAGGAAAAAAGGTTTCTAAATTATCAGAAGTTGTTGGTGAATCTCTTAGTTTTCCTTTGATGGCTTTTTCTCTCAGAAAACGTCACAGGTTAAATGAACCTCCAAATCCATTCACCAAAAGAAGCTGCTGATGTTTTGAACAATATTGATCAAAACCGCTATGGAGACATTCATAGGTTCTGTGAATGTTGGAAATGATGTGATACTTTTGCTTGGCCATTTCCTTGTCATAAGCAAAGTACAATCAGCAAAACCTGTTTTGTGGATGGCACTTTTAGACAATCTTCCAACTATGATATTGTTTGAAATATTGTAAATGACAAAAATTCTAGTTTCTAAATTCTAATTAAATAGCTAAAGTTGTACTTGACTCATTTAAGGCAAAAATTTAATTTTAATATGACATTTCTAATGAAGTTGGAGAATTGGTACCAACTACTGATTTTCTCTGTGGAATACTCACCAGCTTTAGAAGATGTGCAGCCGTGGCGCAGTGGTTATTGCGCATGCTTTATAAATAGGAGATCTAGGTTCGAAACGAGCTTTGAACATATTTCGTGTCACGGTAAGGAAGGAGGCGTGAACATCCTGGTTAAATGCACCTCCGCGGTAACTTCTTGGGGCACTTAAATAACAAATTTAAAAAAAATAAAAACAAAACAAAACAAACAGCCAACTTTTCCGGCAAGATCAACGAGATTATCCAACAATTGAAAAGATCCTGCTGTATATAGAAAGACTTCGATTGGGCGATTGGTCTGCTGAGCGTAATCTTTTGGCCATATCTTACACCAATTTCAAAGCATTGTAAGAAATGCTTCCGTGTTTTTCTTAATTTGCATCTTTTTTTTTTCATTCTATTCTAATTTGCTTTGCCCTTTTCTTTTACAGGCAATCTTAAAAAAAACAAGTTTGAGGAACTTGAAAATACCTGAAGAAAATCAATCTTCTCCAAGATGTGGTGTTTTTATGACCAATGCCAGAAATGTTTTGATTTTGTCTTGTAAGCATTTTCTGTTTTGCTTGTCATATCTTGAGCAAGTGCAAGCAAGCAGAACACACTATAGTTCTTCTTGTCGTGCGCCAATTGCAACTGTTATTGAGCCTTTTCACTGAATTATTGCATTTTTATTTTTTCTTTAAATAATTTTAAAACAGTTTTTGCAGTCGGAAATTAAATTTTTTTTTTAAGTTTTGAATTTTTTTTGATATAATTCCAGATTTGCTTGTTTCGATATTAGTAATAATTTGTCTTTTTCGAAATAATTTTTTATCTAAATTTTAGATTTATTTCCTTTCTTGAAATTTTCAATATTATTCGACATTTTTTGATACAAATCTGAATTTGTTATTTTTGAGCCATTTTTCTCATTATTTTGATCTAAGTAATACTACTCTAATAAATATCAAATTTATAACAAGTTATAAGAATAAAACATTTATAAATTTATGTATAAATTTTAATCATAAACCTACATCTGTCTAATTACTTCTCTTTTTATTTACTAAAAATTGTACTGATAAGCAATAGCAGAACGTCTGAAAAGCAATGTTGGATGTTTGTTCTAATATAACAACCAATAAAACATATTACAGAAGAAAACTTTCTCTGTACACTTTTAACATACATAACCATGGAGCTAATGAGGTTTCCCTTTTTTCCTATAATGAGACAGTTCGAAAAAAAGGTTTTAATGATGTTCCATCAATATTGCCGCACTATTTAATGAAATATTGCCTTCAGAAGTCATTCATCTTAAAAAAAATATTAAACCTCTTTTTACCACTTCCCCAATTAAAACCCAGACACTTCGAAAAGTTTTAATCTCTAAAAACCATTCAGATAAAATACTTTTTAGAGAGAGCTGGAACGGGCAATTCTCTGATGCTATTGTCACAAAACCAGTTAAAAAGAGGAAATGTTGTTAGAGCCCCTCCAGCCTCCAAATAGAGTGCTATACCTCTTTCTTAATCAAAAGACTTACAGCATCTCAAACATTTTTGCAAGCAAGACGCACAAGAATTTTACGACTATCTTCCATATCGAAGAGAGAATCAATTACCTTCTGTGAAACCTTAGATGAAGAAGAGGAAGTTGAATTTTGAAATTTAAACAAGTTTATCTCTTTTTGACAATGAATTTTTTTTAATGAATTTTACACATTTGCTTATTATTTATATTAATTGGTTTCTTTTATATTTGTTTACGTTGACTTGCTTTTTAATTACATATATAACGAATTTTTCTTTATATTTGATAAAACAAAAACTCATTAAAAAAATCATTATCCCAACGGAATAATGATAGTTTTAAAAAATTTAAATGATAATCAGTTAATTGATACCAGGGGGAATTTAATCTGCAAAACACGTATTTTATACGTTTAAATAAGATCACCACGTCTTAAAGACATTTAAAAAACAATTATTTTTTTGACCAAATGGCTGCTGGGATAAAATAAGTTGTGGTTTGTGTAAAGAAACTACAGGTTAAATTGCTAAAAGCCAACATTAGTAAAGAAATACGTTTTGCAACTCAAAAACTGGGAACGTCAATTTTCGATAAAGGTTGCAAAATTCTATAGCAAACCAACAGTTTTTGTAAAAAGTTTAAATTAGTGCATTTTTATTTCATTTTAAGGTCAATTTAAAAAAATAAATCTAGGCAAGACTGTTTCTTGTAAAACAAAAAGGTAAGGGAAGTCTTTGAAAATTAAATTTGATTTATCTCAGTTTGCGATAATATTTTTTTTGTAATAATATAAAATATTAACAACTATAACAAAAATAAATATTTTTATTATAGTTGTTCTTTAAGAAAATTTATATATATATATATATATATATATATATATATATATATATATATATATATATATATATATATATATATATATATATACACAGGGATGGCACCAGCATTTTTTGGTCTTCGAGATATCTAACTTCCAGGCATGGAGCGAACTCCAAACATATGTTTATACTTATGTCAAATAGGGATGCTTTGCAAAAAATTGCGATAATTGGAGCCCCTAAATTTTAGCCCGCCACCTGCCCCAAACGTGAGAGCAACAAGTTGATGAAATAATTTTTATAAATTGTACTATAAAACTTAAAATTTCTTGAAATATCGAGAAATTTTAAGTTTTATAGTATAATTTCTCAGCGTTCAAAAATTATAACTATGTAAAATTTGCAACCCCCTCAAGTTGAGGAGGGTTTATATTTTTTGAACGCTAAAATATTTTACTACAAAATTTAAAGTTTATCAATGAATTAAAATCTAGTTAAAAATAGTTCTAAAAATATTTTATCTACTTGTTGCTCTTACGTTTGGAGCAAGGGGGCTTAAGGTAGCAGATCCCCTTAAAAATCAAAAAAAATTCAAATTTTGTTTTTTACTTGATTTTTATTCAAAATTTAACGGAGATTATTAATATGAAAACAGTTTCTTATAATTCAATTTAGTTTTTTTAATATTTATGTTTTAGTTGACCATAGTTTTTCAGGCTTCCCTAGTTACCGCCATAGCAACGGGTTTGATTATTGGTTTTTTAACTTTCTAGTCACCTTTTTGGAGAAAACTTCAGTCTTAAAAGAATCTTGTTTGCTTAATGTTTGTACCAGTGCTCAAAACAACTTTAGGATAAACTCCACAGCTTGAACATTACAAATTAGAATCACAACTTAAACTATTTGAAAGCTTCTACTAAAAGCCACTTTTACTTCAAATTTGTTTGCAACTTTTAAACAAAAAAATGACTCACAGTACAATTAGAAAACGTAAATACAAGTTTAAAGAAAATCAGTACACATGCAATGATAAACAAAAAAATAGTTTACCTTCATCGCCAACTGCAAGTTGTTCAAGTGCAAAAAAGTTATTTTCGAAAACGAAAACAACTCAAAATATTGATTGTAACAATGAAGATTACAAGAACAATTATAACTTTATTATGAACTTTTCTATATTAAAAAGAATATTTAGTA